GTGACTGCTGGACCAAACACATGCGTGTGTCAAGGCAGTGCCAGGTTCTGTTTCACAAAGGTGGTAGCGATTCCCATACCCACAACAGAGGAATTGGGCATTCTTCCTGTATATTTTGCTTGACACTGTCTATTGTAGTTCTCTTAAATGTTGGCCAATACGATGCATAAAATGTTATTTGTTATTCTATTATTTTACTGGGTATCTTTTATTACCAGCATGGTTAATAAGCACATTCCCTCTTCTGATAATTGTCCATTTCTGTCATTTGATGATTTTTCTGTTGGTTTCATTTGTCTTTCTCTTAGGAGATATTTGTATATTGAGAAAACTAACTTTCATCTGTCATGTATGATGTAAGTATTTTCTTCCATTCTGTAATTTTTCCCATGATCTATTTAAATATATATATTTATATATATATACACTATATATATATATATACACACATATATTGCTATGGAGTACCTCAATAATCTTTTAGGTAATTAAAAATGCAGTTCAGCTCTCTGCTGTGGCCTAGGAGTGCAGTGGAGGATGGCCCAACTGACCAGGTGTTGGTAGCATACACAGGAGGCACATTTGACAGAATCCAATGGATTCAAGACGGAGGTGAGTGGGACTGGCTCTCTGTGTGACCTGTGATGGGGGAAGGTCGCGCCCAGGTGGGTGGCACTAGTCTCCCACGCTGGGTTCCATGAGTGATGTGGCTGAGGTCTCATGGTACCCCTGTGTGCAGAGGGTGTATACAGTCGTCTCATTCCTCCTGCTCTGCTGGGCATCAGTGTCGAATGGGCCTTGGTGTGAGTCTGTGTCAGACACGGGTTCAAGACTAGGTGTCGGGTCACCTGGTATCAGGTGTGGCAGGGAGGCCGGCTCTGAGAGCCCCAGAGATGCGTGGGCTGAGAGCAGGCCAGGGAGACCCTTAGACTTGGGCTCCCTGGAGGACATGTGGATGCCAGGCTTGGGGAGGAGCGTCCTTTCTGAGGGCAGGGGAAGCAAGGTGGGGGCTGTCCTTCCCCAACCGTCCCTAGTCCCTGTGCTCTGGACGAGTCATCTTCCTGGGACGCAGCCACCAGGTGCCCACCTGCCTGGCTGTGTGGCTGTCCCTCCTCTGACCAGGGGGACAGCCCTCAGGGCAGCAGTTCCCATGGGCTCCCCTGTGCTGGCTCACATGTGCGTGTGTGTCTTACAGATTGGATATGGACGCCCTGAGGTCTGGCAGGGCCCAGGAGCGAGCAGCGATCATCATGAAATATGAGCAGGTACGGGCCAGGGTGCTGGGGGAGGAGGTGGGGCCCTGCCTCAAGGACTGTGCCTGTGAGAGCCAGACCCCGCCTCCCTGGGGACACAGAACTGGGCAGGCGGCTCAGCTTCCCCAGTGACTTCTCATCCGGGTTCCCTCTTGGCTGCAGGGATGCCGAGGCGCGGCACTGTTAGAGCCTGAAGAAGAGGATGATGAGGGCGGCTGCCTCGTCCCAGACAGGTTTGGGTTCCTGCAGTGAGTCCTCCACACCCCACCCCACCCCAGGGCAGGGACTGGGGTCAGAAACCCCAATATGAAGTGGCACACCTGTCTCCAGGCCCTGACCTTGAGCCCAGCTGTGGTCACAGGCAGGCACTGGTCAGCATTTGGCCAGAGCCGAGTGACCCTGTGACTCAGGACTGCAGGCAGGGACAGAGCTGGACGTGGGGCAAGCACTGGGCACTCTTACTCTGAGGTCTCTGTTTCTGTTAAGTAGAGGGGGTGGCTTGAGGGTCCCCATGCTCCCAGGCAACACAGCCTGACCATCGCCACTCCAGAGCTGTGTCCACAGGGTTGGGGCACCAGCCTAGCAGCTGGGCAGTTGTCCAGCAGGTGCCTGGGTCTCAGGGCCCAGGCTCAAGGCTTACTAAAACCTAGTCTGAGGGATAGCCAGGGGTGTAGTCTCTGAGGCTCTGAAACTGCCTGCGGGATCCCATAGTATAGACCATGGGGAGGGTGCAGCTGAGGGCCCTGCCCCCGGGTCTGTGCTGGGAGGAGTGGGGCCTGGGAGGCAGGAGGCAGACTTGGAGGCTGTTCCCACGGATGTCAGGGAGAGAGGTCCCATGGCTGGAGGGTGGGCTCCGGTGACCTAGAGGGATGGAGCCTTCTCAGGCCTTCTTGGCTTGACTCAGCAGCCCACCTTAGCTCAGGGATAGGGGGTTCTGGCTCCATAGTGTGCCAGAACCTGGAGAAAAAAAAAGGAGCAGAGTGGTGGAGAGATGGCTAGGGTCTGGGCTGACAGAGGAGGGGCAGGTGTGGAGCCAGCACCTCAGGCGGCCAGTGCACAGGGGAGGATGGTGGGCAGGGGGGGACCCTGGGAGGTGTGGTGGTCCCAGGTGCCTCAGCCCCAAGTGCACACTCAGCACTGAGCATCTCTCAGGCAGGCCACCCGGACTCGGTCAGTTCCAGGGTGACTTCCTGGGGAGAGCTGGTGTGGGGACACTGCTCCCTCCCCCCTGGGCAGCCTGGCCCTGCTCAGGACAGCAACTCCCCAACCGCTGTGGGGGTGCTGCCACATGCCCAGGAAGGTGGACCTCTGAAGGCCTGGAGCCACCACTGGCAGCAAGGTCCCCTGCCTGGCCCTGGGCTCCCTGTGCTCATGGTCACCAGCCCCTCCCTTCCCGTCTGAGTCCCCTGGGAAGAGAGGATGAAGCTGGTCCTTCCCTGGCCCAGTAGGGAGGTGGAGGTGCCGGTTGTGGTCCAGTCCTCACCTCTCCATCTCCCTTGCTTTCCAGTGAGCAGAAGTTGCCCCAAGACAGCACCCCGGGGGCAAAGGTAAGGACAAGTCCTTGGCCATGGGCCAGTCATCTGGAAGCAGAGCTGGGTGGAGGGGGCATGTGGGGCTCGGCAATGGTTAGTGGGAGTGCCATAAGGTCCTGCAATGTGGTACTTACATGGCCCCTGCTGACATCTTAACACACTCACCTGCCCCAGAACTGAGCCGCAGTTCAGGGGCATCTTCCTGTCAGCTGTCATGAGTCATTGGCATGGTTGGGAGTGACCTGGCTGGAGCTCAGGGGCTCTGCCTTGAGGATGGGGCAGCTCGGGTCAGAGGCCAGGCCACCGACGCTCCCCAGACAGAAGACCTGGGGCTCACGGTCTGTGCCTTTTCTGATTCCTTCCTTTGAGTGCACACAGAGCTCCTGAGCTGCATCTGAGGGCCACTCTCAGAGTCTGAAGCTGAGCTCACACCATCCTGTCTTGTTTTCCAGTGTAAACAGGTGCACAGGATCCAGAAATGGGTGAAAATGATAAAGAACCACAGCAAATACCATGGCAGCGAGAAGGTACCGTGGAGCTGAGGGCCCCTCGGGAACACTGAGAGCTGAGTTGGGGTTTGAGCAGTGCCCATTCCCGTGCCAGGCACCGCCTGCCTCTCAGATGCCCAGGGGCAACTGTCCAGCCCCCAGGGACACAGGTCATGTGCACCCCTTCCCCATACACGCAGGACACTGTCCTGGTAGAAAATCTAAAGTCACTGCTGAAGACAATCCCGCATGCAGGGCAGGTGTGGTTCCAGGAGCCCTGTAGGGGGCAGTCAGTGCAGGGCAGAGCCGGTGCCCCTGAGCCCTTGGCCCCCAGTCACTGTGGGTCATAAGGCCCCCATCTGGGTAGATCCTCCCTCTGCCAATACACACGGAGCCCCTGGCTTCTCCCTCCTGCTGTCTCACCCTGCGCTCCCTCCCCGAGTGGCCACGTTCACCACTCACCAGAGCCTCCTCTCTCCTGTAGTTTCAGCAGAGAATCTACAAGGGCATCCCTGCCCAGGTGCGCGGGAAGGTGTGGGCTGTGATGCTGGAGGTGGACAAGAAGAAGGCCCAGAATCCAGGCAAATACGCGGTATGGCTCTGCACTCAGCCCAAGGGGCCCTGGCCTGCTCGGGCCTGGTCAGGAGCCTGAGTCTCCGTGGAGGACCGTCCCTGACTGAGCCCTCGGGAGCCTCCTCCCCATCCTGCCTGCTTCTCTCCCTAGATCCTAGTCAGTGCCTCCTCCACGTCTCCCCAGACCCAGCTGGGACTGCACATGTGTGTTTTGTGCCAGAGGCTTTAACCTGCTCTCTGCTGAGCTCACCAGGGCAGCTTGGCATAAGGCCAGAACAGAGGAATTGCTGCGCCCATGATGGGCGGGGGTCTCCCAGTATGAGATCACAATGGTGTGAGGTAGGGAGCCCCACAGGCTCTGTGCTAACAGGGCCTGCCCACAGCTGGCCCTGCCTTCACATGCACTTGCAGCCCCTGGCATTGCCCTTGCCTGGAGTGGCTGGTCCAATGGTCAGACAGCTCTCAAAGCTTCCGGGAATGGAGGGAGTGAGGGCTGGTGTGAGCAGAGGGCTGGCAACTGCAGCTGGCTCTCATGTCCCCAGCTGCCATCAGGGAGCAGGGCCCAGCTGTGTGGCCCACCCTACCTCCCCCAAGTCTGCAGTTTGGGGCTGGCCCTGGGAGCTGGGCCTGGAGACAGTCATTGCCCAGGCTCGGCTCCAAGCCAAGGGTGGCTTCCAATGTCTAGATGGAGATGGGCCCCTCCAGCAGGGCGCAGCATGGAGCAGTGGCCAGGCTGTGGCTGACTCCTGGAGGGCAGGGCCTGAGATGCCAGCGAGGGGGATCAGAAGCCTGGCTGGGGTCAGACCGCATCTGTGCTGAGAGCTGAGGGCAGGCAGGGGTAGTGCACAGGGACCTTTCAGAGCCCCTGTCTGATGCTGACCATTGGGGTCCCAGTGGCCCCCTCAGCAGGGGTGCTGGCCACGGGGGTGACGTGGACACTGAGGCAAGTAGGGAGCCCATGACCCCCCCCCCCAACGTGGGACCCAGAAGGGAATGAGCTCCCTGCAGGGAACTCTCCCCGCCAGCCAGAAGAGCTGACGTGGAGTAGAGAGCCTCATGTGGCAATGGGGCTTTTGCTGGTCCTGAGGCTGGCCCCTCCCCCTTGTCCCTGCCCTGCAGGAGATGAAAGAGCAGGCCAGGCTGGGCGCCACTCACTTCCATCACATCGACTCCGCCATCACATGGACTTTCAGAAACCACCTGAAACCACCACCCCTCTGCCTCTGCCTCTTCTTAGGAGAAGGAGGGTGTGTGCCTGGAGGACTCTACCACCCACTGGTACATCCAGTGCTTCCTGGATGGGGTAAGTGCCCCAGGGACCCCTTGCCCAGGAAAGCCCCTGCCCCAGTGCCTGGCTCTCCTGTCGTGGTGGCCTGTGACTCTGAGCTCCCCCAGCCCCAGTAGACACAGGAGGGAGTCTGCTGTGCAGACCAGGCAGGTCCTGCCCTGCTAAGGGTGGTCCAAGCTGAGGCTGAGCCTTAGGGTTAGCAAGGAGGGGACAGGTCCCACCAGGACCCATCCTGAGAGCCTGGCAAAGGCCAGAGCCCTACAGTGAGAGGCAGGAGACCCATAGACCCCCAGTGGCAGAGGCTGGTGTCAGCACAGCCCAAGGGCTGACCCCTCCCCCAGGACCCTGGGTTGTCTGGCATCTCCAGTGTGGTTTCCAAAGTGTGCAGATGCCCAGGGTCCAGGACAGGACATGGTCATCACTCTGGGTGTGGTTCCCTGAGTGGGTGGGGGTGTGACACTGCACACCCACCCCCTGTGGGCCCTGCTGAGGCCCAGATGGGTGGAGTCCTCCAATGCCTCTGTCCCCCAGGTGCCGTTCCCCCTGGTTCTGAGGATGTGGGACATCTATATCCTTGAGGGCGAGCATGTGCTCACCACCATGGCATACACGGCCCTCAAGATCCATCACAGTGAGTCCTCAGGGCCCACAGAGGCCCGGGTGCTGGGGACGGAGGAGCTGGGGGTCCCCCTTCCTGCCCCTCATGAGTAGGGCTTGAGGGAGGGATGAGGGGGTTTGGGGTCCTGGGTTCCCTTCAGGAGGGCACTGAGAATCCTCTGTTGCACCCCCAATCCCAGGCCCCCACAGACCACAAGGAGAAGTGGCCAAGGTCATCACACAGGAAATTGGTCCCTAAGCAGTCCCTCCAGTGCTTGGCTTGACACCCAAGGGTGTCCAAGGGTGTCTGCAGCCCATGTCTGGAGCTGGGACAGGGCTTGGAGCAGCCATGGTGGCTGCGCCATCCCTAGGGTCACTCCTAGCCTGACTCCCACCCCCATGTCTAGAGCGCCTGCTGAAGATGTCCAGGGACCACCTCCGGGAGTTCCTGCAGGTGACCCTGAAGCAGGCCTGGTAACTGAGCAAGGATGTGGTCATCAGGCAGCTGCGGGCCTCCATGCGTGAGCTGGGGAAGCTCCAGTGCCTCCTGCCTCCCGAAGGTGAGTCCAGCACACGGCCCCGTCCCATGCTCCCTTGGGGGAGTCAGTAGTGGGAGACCCAGGCCCTGGCAGCCCCGCCCAGGGCCTCCCCTCTTCCTTGTCCTCCATGTCCTCCCTGGGCTCAGCAGTTCTGCTTTCAGAAGCTCTGACAGCATGGCCTGGTGGGGCGTCAGGCAGCTGCCCTGATTCCTCCTGTGGGGGACTGCTCTCCCCCAATGACTCTGGGGCCGGGATGTGGAGCTGTCCTAGGGCTCTGTGGCTCTGGCTCCTCGGCTGACCTCCACTCTGGAGTGGATTCGAGGCCCCGCCTTGAGCTACCCTGCCCAGGTCTGGAGCAGGTGCCCTGGCTCAGTGTCCCCAGGAGCCCGGAGCACAGCTGGACCCCCACTCCAGCAAGATGAGAAGTGGCCCTGCCTGCCCAGGGGGCCTCTCCCCGACTGACCCCACACAGGCTCCTGGCACGATGACCACAGCTGTCTGCACACAGGACCCTCCTAGGACAGGGGTGGGCGGGGCTCCCACCTGCATGTGGGCAGGGCTAGAGGGAGGTGGGGCTGTGGAAGACCCTGCACAGTGAAGGCCAAAGCCAGCCGGCACTGGATCCCCTTCAACCATCTGAAGACCCCTGGAAGGCCCTGGTGCCCTGAGCCCAGTTATGGGGGCCAGGTCCACTCCTGTGAGCAGGGTGGGCACAAAGGCAGGTACTGGGGGCCCCCGCGGCAGAACCCAAGTGCAGCTGAGTGTGGGCTCTGCAGTCCTAGCCTCGGGCCAACAGAGTCAGCGGGACCGGGAGCAGCGCTGGCCTCTGGGCTCTGGTGGGGAGGGGTCCCCGTGCTCATCCCTGTTCCTGCTGCTGCCGCCATCAAGGACCTGGGCACCTGGGTCCCCATGCAGAGCAGAGATGGGTTTGTCCCAGCTCTAGAGGCTGGCGGGGGTGGGGGGAGCCCGGGTGGGGGGGCCCAGCGGCAGGCTGTTCAGGCACTGGGGAGGCCCCACTGTGCTTCCAGCTGCTGCCTCCCCTGGGAGCTTGTGGGACAGAAGCGGTGACAGCCATGTCTCCCTGGGAAAGGGACAGTGGCCCAGGGTCAGACGACAAAGGGTGCCCCTGCCACCTCTTTAGAAACCACATTCCCTGTCCCCAAGGGCCTGAACCAGACCCCATGTCTGCCCCACAACCCCAGCTCTCCCCCATCACCTTAGGCTCAGTTCATTTCCAGCCATTTAGGAGGGACTCAGATGCGGGTAACTCAGCCAATGCACTGTTAGGGCGCAGGAGGTCAGGTGGGGTAGTGCCAAGGGTCCTGAGTTGGTGCCTCAGTCCCCAGAGATGAGAGAGTGAGGCGGGGAGGTCAGGGCCATCCACACTTGGGGCTGTGCAGGAGGAGCCGGAGCTGTCCCAGGGCTCCCCTGGCCCAGGCTGCACACACCCTCCCCTCTGGGGCCAGCAGCCCAGAAAAGTCCTCAGCATCACACGGGGTGATGGGGACCCCATGATGAGGTCGGGGCAGGCACCCTGCAGTCCATACGGGGGCTGTGGAGAAGCAAACTGCATCTCCTCTTTTCCCAGCCAAGGCCATCGAACGGTGCGGCAGGCCCCTGGGGCAGGCACGCGTCCCCCAGAAGCACGTTCCTGCCCCCACTGCCACGAAGGCCAAGATCGCCATTCAGGACACAGTGGCAGTGTGGGAGCAGACCAGGGGTCCCGCTGCCCGGGCAGTGATGATCCATCCTCCAGAAAGCTTTGGCCTCCGCATCGCCGTGAGGGAAGGCATGGAGGAGGAGGAGAGCTGCGAAGGCAGCCCAGAGCCCCTCTGCCTGGGCTCCCCTGTGGGGACCGCAGAGTCTCCACATGTGGCCAGCCCCACAGAGACTCCAGAGAGCTCGTGGGGGAGGGGAGGGCTGTGCCAGTGTGCTAATCTCCCTAATCTGACGGGCCAGGGCACAGGGAGGACGACTTCTGATGCTGGCACCAGGAGGGCCTGTGGATGTGGGCTCCTCCACAAGCCTCGGAGCCCCCAGAACCAGGGCCCATGCAGGCCACCCCAGCCTGGGGGCCACGGCTGAAGACTCCCCCCTACTGGCATGGCAGCCCCACGCACTCTGGGGACAGTCATGGGCTGGAGCTGGCCACCTGGGCTGGGAGACCAGGCCCGTGTGCTCTCCCTGGCCTGAGGCCTCCTTACCTCCTACTCCATGGGGCACCTGGATGATGGGTGCCTCCTAGAAGAGGGGACGAGCCCACCACGTGTCCTGCCCAGCCTGGGCAGCAGCCTTCCATGTATCTTCATGGCATTCTATACACTTGATTGAGCCCCGACCCCCAGGCTCTTCCTGGGGCCAGGACACCCCATCTCTGGAAGACAGCAGCAGTACCAGGATCCACTGTACTACCTTCCCCCCACCCCCGCCACCCTCAGGTGCTGCTGACCCTGTATTACATGGTTATACTGAAACCTGTTTGCTCCAGTTTGTGACCCCGGCGCCCAGCTGCAGCAGAGCTTCCCGTGTTCCTGGAGAGCGTGGGTGGCTCCACAGCCCCCAGCCCCAGGCAGAGACCCGCTCAGGACCCCGCAGGCAATGCCTGAGATTCACCTGTGCCCTGCGGGGTCTGGGTCAGGGTGGGAGAGCAGCAGCTGTGAGTGCCCATGAGCTCTGGGACAGATCGGCACAATAGGAACAGTCATGGGGGGAGGGCCTGAGTCACCTCTATGCTCTCGTGGACCTGGGCGGCCATGTGCAGCACCCTGGCTTGCCCCCACGTGTTTCTCCCTTCCATCCTGCACGTTCTGGAACCCAGCTCCTCTTCACCCTGACCACGGGAGAGGGCACCGAGCGTGCTCGGCTGGGTCTAGGGGGATGCCAGCAGGGCCTTTTTGTACCGTTGAGCCCTGGTGTCTGCACTGAGCTGTGGGGGGAGGGCTGCCATGGGTGCTGTGGGCTGGCCCCACTCACCCCAGGCCCGGCCCTGGTCTAGTACAGTGACCTGCTTTGAGCCCATCCCCTCTGTCCCCACCTGTCCCAGTTCCGCACGGCCTCCTGTGCCACAGCTGTCTGCTGCTGCCTGCAGAGCTGGCTGCCTGGTGACTCCGGGTGCCCTCAGGGATGGGGACGGGGCCTCTCTCTGGGCTCGTCTGGGCTCTGCAGGTCAGCCCTTGGGTCCCAGCCAGGCCCGCCTGAGCCTGCACTCTGATGAGGGAGAGATGTGCCTGGGGTCAGAGCCTCCCATGGGGTGTTCCACAGTCCAGTTGTTCCCTTGAGTGTGTTCCCTTGACCTCCCCACCCCCATCAATAACTGCCTTTCAAACAAATCTCTAAAAATAAAACAAAATAAAATAAAATAAAATAAAATAAAATAGTAGTTACTATCAGACACAGAATCCTGGAGCCATGGCTGGAACAGAGCTCAGAGGGATTCTTGGGTTTCTCTAAGTTCCTGTGTTTTCCTCCATCTGGATGCTTGTACCATGGGTACTGAGTCTCTGTGATAAATTCACCAGGTTGTGTGCGTATGCATTCGAGTGCATGTGCTCATTTTCCTGCACGCATGTTATACTTCAGAACAATGTCTCCTGTTCCTGGCCTGAGCCTGGTAGCACTGGGTCATTCCCAGGTTTGCCCAGCCGTGTTTGTGAGGAGAGCAATTCCTCACAGCTCACATGAGTTCCGACCAGAAGCGGACGTGGGGCTGGTTCCTGCCAGGGAGCGGTGCTGTGCCTGGCAAAAAGGGGACATGTGACTGGCTGCACTTCCGGATCACAGCGCCTGGCACAGGCATGCTCCCCACCGGCAGGTGTCCTGGGGAGGTGTGAAACTGACACGCCCTGTTGCACCCTTTGTCCAACATGCCAGTGACACTTCTGGTCCCACTGCTCCACACTTGTGAAGCATGCAGATAGCAGGTGATGGCCCAAGTACTTGGACCACAGCCACCCTCATGGGAGACCTGGATGGAGTCCCTGGCTCCTGGCTTCTGTCTGGTCCAGCGCTGGCAATGGCAGCCATTTGAGAAAAGAGTCACTGGATGGCAGATCTCCAGCTCCCACTCTCTGTTCTGCCTACTAATTAAGGAGTAAAAATCACATACCCCCCCACACACACCCAAACACCTGACCCAGAGTGTTTATGGTTACCCTCAATTGACCCAGAGGTCCAGTTGAGACTCAGGGAAGAACTAATGGAGGGAAAGTCTCGCTCCCAATGCCGGAGGTGAAACTACAGCCCCACAGAGGGTGCTGGCCATAGCTGGTCCAGGCCAGGGGCAGGTGAATGGTGGCCCGAGGTGCACAATGTGACAGCAGGTGAGGTGGTCAAGCTAGAACAGACCACTGCCATGCCCTCAAAATAAAGGCAGCAAAATCCAATGCAACATGGCTAAAGAGATAAGGAAATGCACAATTGTAATGGAAGACGCTGAAGTCTCAGTAACTGAACAAATAGGATCTGTACGAAATCCCAAAATCATCAGCAATTGATTGGACTCCACCTAATTTAGAGAACACTTTTGCTGATGACAGAAGCATACACATTTTCCAATACACATAGAACACTGGCCACAATGCACTGCATTCCAGGTTACACAGCATAACTCAACAATTTTATAAATATCATGAATTATCTAATATATGTTGTTCTTTATAACAATAGTAGGAAAACAAAAATTATTAACGAAGATAATGGGAGAATGTCAAAATATTGAGAAATTTAAAACCGCAATTCTAAATGACATTGGCGTCAAGAACCAAATCAAAAGAGGGCAAGAAAAGACAATCAAAACAAAAGGAAAACACAGCATCCTCACACTTGTGCGATGCACTACTGGAGATGAAGTCAATGAAACATTCTGAGAGTTCCCCAGCACTACAGTCCCAACGTGGCGGCCCTGCCCCAGGGCCTTCTACCTCTTCCTCATCAGCCGTGTTCTCCCTGCCTCCCCAGAGGGCCTTACCCTGACTGACTCAACACCGGCTTCAGGCCTGATGGCCACAGCTGTCTGCACACAGGACCCTGATACAGTGGGTGTGGGCATGGTACCCTGTTATGGGTGGGGCTACCAGGAGTTGGGGCAGTAGAAGAGCCTGTGCAGTGAGGGCTGAAGTCACCTGGGCACATTTGGAAGCCCCACATGACATCAACGCATTTGTGGAGCCCCAGTTCCACCCTAGGGAGCAGGGGAGGGCACAGAGGTGGGACCTAGGGCAGCAGCCAGAGAGGCTGATGTGGGCTTTGCAGTCCTAGCCTCGGGCCAACACAAGTCAGCGGGACCAGGAGCAGCGCTGGCCTCTGGGCTCTGGTGGGGAGGGGTCCCCGTGCTCGTCCCTGTTCCTGCTGCCATCAAGGACCTGGGCGCCTGGGTCCCCATGCAGAGCAGAGATGGGTTTGTCCCAGCTCTAGGGGCTGGCAGTGGGGGCCCAGCGGCAGGCTGTACAGGCACTGGGGAGGCCCCAGTGTGCTTCCAGCTGCTGCCTCCCCTGGGTGCTCGTGGGACAGAAGCGGTGACAGCCATGTCTCACCTGGAAAGGGACAGTGGCCCAGGGTCAGATGACAAAGGGTGCCCCTGCCACCTCTTTAGAAACCACATTCCCTGTCCCCAAGGGCCTGAACCAGACCCCATGTCTGCCCCACAGCCCCAGCTCTCACCCCCATCACCTTAGGCTCAGTTCGTTTCCAGCCATTTAGGAGGGACTCAGATGCGGGTAACTCAGCCAATGCACTGTTAGGGCGCAGGAGGTCAGGTGGGGTAGTGCCGAGGGTCCTGAGTTGGTGCCTCGGTCCCCAGAGATGAGAGAGTGAGGCGAGGAGGTCAGGGCCATCCACACTTGGGGCTGTGCAGGAGGAGCCGGAGCTGTCCCAGGGCTCCCCTGGCCCAGGCTGCACACACCCTCCCCTCTGGGGCCAGCAGGCCGGAAGAGTCCTCAGCGTCACACAGGGTGATGGGACCCTGGGTTCAGGTCTCAGAGGCACACCCTGCACTGCAGATGGTGCCTGTGGAGAAGCAAACCACGTCTGCTTTCCCTTCAGCAAAGGCGAACGAGCTTTGCAGCACGGCCCTGGGGTTACCGCAGGTCTCTCAGGAGTCTGCTCCTCCCCAAAACCATAGAGGCAAAAGAAGATGGCGGAGGAGGGCCTGCGGGTGCCACTAGGGGGTTCACTCCCCCCAGAGGAGAGTCATCCTCTGAGAAGTTCTAAATCCCAGATGGCCCCTTGCCCACCTGCCCTGGCCCCACTGGTCTCACGTCCCACTCGGTCACCTTCAGCCCCAGGCACAGGGCTGAAGAGTCCACGCCTGCACCCTGTCCTTGGCAGCCCACTGCACGAGACACCGCTGTGTGGGGACAACAGCCCCGGGTGCCCTCACTTGCTAGTGGCATCTAAGCTGCCCACTCCCTGGGACAGCTGCTGGGTGGGTGGGCACAGTGACTTGTTGTATAGCCCAGACTGGGCAGCAGCCTGCCCTGTCTCTACATGGCTGCCCTCAGGGGCTCCTGTGCCCCTCCCTGAGGAGCCTCTCCCTGGTCATCTATGCCCTGACTCCAGTTGGGGATCATAGGTGCTGAGGGCATCCCCAGAGCAGGGCAATGACTCAGTTTATGGAGCAGTGCCTGATGCAGCTCCTCACCCTCCAGGGAACCTTATTCTTGATGCTGACCATGTATTAAAGTGTTTCTAGGTATTCAATTGCTAGCTTGGGACTTCTTTGCTTCAGTTTTTGCCCACCCCCAGCCCAGCTGCAGCAGAATTTCTCTGTGTTCCTGGGGAGCGATTGTTGGAGGCTCCACAGCTCCCATTCCCAGACAGAAACCTGCTCAGGACCCTGCAGGCAATGACTGAGATTCACCTGTGCCCTACAGGGACCGGGTCAGCACAGGGAAAGTAGCAGGCATGACTCTGGAACAGATCAGGACAATAGGGACAGTTGTGGTGTCACCTCTATGCTCTCGTAGACCTGGGCGGCCGTGTGCAGCATCCCTGGCTTGCCCAAATTCTGGAACCCAGCTCCTCTTCACCCTGACCCCGGGAGAGGGCACCCAGCGTGCTCGGCTGGGTCTAGGGGGATGCCAGCAGGGCCTTTTTGTACCGTTGAGCCCTGGTGTCTGCACTGAGCTGTGGGGGGAGGGCTGCCATGGGTGCTGTGGGCTGGCCCCACTCACCCCAGGCCTGGCCCTGGTCTAGTACAGCGACCTGCTTTGAGCCCATCCCCTCTGCCTCAACCTGTCCCAGTTCCGCACAGCCTCCTGTGCCACAGCTGTCTGCTGCTGCCTGCAGAGCTGGCTGCCTGGTGACTCCGGGTGCCCTCAGGGATGGGGACGGGGCCTCTCTCTGGGCTCGTCTGGGCTCTGCAGGTCAGCCCTTGGGTCCCAGCCAGGCCCGCCTGAGCCTGGACTCTGATGAGGGAGAGATGTGCCTGGGGTCAGAGCCTCCATGGGGTGTTCCACAGTCCAGTTGTTCCCTTGAGTGTGTTCCCTTGACCTCCCCACCCCCATCAATAACTGCCTTTCAAACAAATCTCTAAATTAAAAAAAAATAAAAAGCTGTACTTACTATCAGACACAGAATCCTGGAGCCTTGGCTGGAACAGAGCTCAGAGGGATTTTTTCTAAAGATTTATTTATTTGAAAGTCAGGGTTACAGAGAGAGTTAGAAACAGAGAGAGAGAGGTCTTCAATCCGTTGTTTCACTCCCCAGATAGCTGCAATGGCTGGAGCTGCGTCAATCTGAAGCCAGAAGCCAGGAGCTTCCTCCAGGTCTCCTACTCGGGTGCAGGGGCCCAAGGACTTGGGTCATCTTCCACTGCTATCCCAGGCCATAGCAGAGAGCTGGATCAAAGAGGGGCAGCCAGGACTAGAACCGGCGCCCATATGGGATGCTGGCACTTCAGGCCAGGGTGTTAACCCACAGCACCATAGCACTGGCCCCAACACAGAGGGATTCTTGGGTTTCTCCGTTTCTGCTTTTTCCTCCATCTTAATGCTTGTAGCATGTGTCCTGAGTCTCTGAAAAATTCACCAGCTTGTGTGTCTATTCATTTGAGTGCAATGTGCCCGTTTTCCTGTACACATGTTACACTTCAGAACAACGTCTCCTGTTCCTGGCCTAAGCCTGGTGGCACTGGGTCATTCTTAGGGTCCCAGTGCCTGGTGCAGGCTCCCTCCCCATGGTTGGCCACCATGGTGCCAGGTGACAACTCATCTGTGTGCTGCCGCATCAGGCGTCTGATGCCCCAGGCCCATGTCCAGTCTCATTGCTCCAGGCTGTGACCCAGGGAGGAGCCGCTGAGGGCCCAGGTCCCTGGGACACAGCCTCCCTCCCTCGTGCTAGTCCTGATGGAGCTCCTGCTGCCTGGCTTCTGCCTGGCCCAGCGCTGGCCATGGCAGCCGCGTGGCAGAGGAGCAGTGCGTGATGTCGCCAGCCTCTTTCTCTCTCTGAGAGGGCGTCCGTCTGGGTCCCCCCCCCCCCCAGGTGGCTACAAAGGCCAGGGCTGGGTCAGGCCAAAGCAGAATCAGGCACTTCATCCAGTACTCCAGGGTGGGGTCAGGGGCCTAAGTCCTGGGGCTGTCTCCTCTGCTTTCCCAGGCTGTGAGCAGACAGCTGGATCCCAAGGGGAATGGCATCGGGAGGGTCCAGGCTGTGGGGTAGCAGGTAAACCCCCGCCTGCAGGGCCGGCATCTCATATGGGTGCCGCTTTGAGTCCCTGGTGCTCCACTTCTGATGCCGCTCTCTGCTCTTGTCTGAGAAAGAAGTACAAGATGGCCCAAGTCCTTGGGCCCCTGCACCTACTCAGGAGACGCCCAGGAGGCTCCTGGCTTTCAATCTGCTCACTTTCAGCTGTTGTAGCCATTGGGAATGGGCCAGCAGATGGAAGACCTCTCTCTCTCTGCCACTCCACCTCTCTCTGTATAACTCTGAGTTTCAAATCAATAATTAAAGCCTTTTTAAAAAGGTAAAAAAATAAAAAAGGAAGATATAGCTATATATGAAATACTACATCAAGGCCCATTATAGAGTGTATTTAAAATTTGATAATATAAACATAACATACACTGTTAACACAGACTTTTAAAAAGAATTTAACTCAGTCTTAGAAAACATTTTGGTACCCATTCATTTTCTTCTTCCTTACAAATATAATAGAAGAAACTGATTAATTTTTATACTGGAAGGTGGGATTCTTTGGATATTTAGACAGTTGGATATTTCTAAAATTAAGGATTTGTAATGTATATTAAAGAGTTACATATGGTATCTTTAAAAATGTATTACAAGAATGCTGGTATTAACAACTTTTTTGCCAGGAGTAATAAATAAACAGTTAGGTATATACATGCACACGTGAGTACAGAAATATGCACACATAGACATAGGATTGCCCTTCCAAAACACCTGACTCCAGAGTTTGCTGGTCACCATCACTTGACCAGAAAGCTCAGGGAAGACCTGATGGAGGAGGAGGTCTTGGTCCCAAAGCAGGAGGTGAAACTGGAGCCCCACAGATGGTTTGGCCTCAGCAGCTGGTCCTGGGCATGGGCAGCTAAATGGCGGCCCTAGGTACAGAATGCGCCAACAGCTGAGACTGTGGCACTACCAGAGCTGACCACTGTGCAGAATGGCCAGGTCATGATGAGGACCCCTGGGCATTTCTGTGCCAGCAGAGACCTCAGGAGAGGGTCCCAGACATCCTGGCCCAGGGCCAGCAGCATGGGCACCAGGGGGGACAGAGTCCCCAGGCCCAGGCATGAGGCTGTGATGGCCCTGTGCATCTCAGAGCCTCCAGGACACCTCCAGCAGATATGAAGGGCTGTTGATATGAAAAGCAGGTGTCCAGGGTGGGGAAAGTAGATAGGGACAGAGGAGCCCAGCTCTGACTGGATGCCGCTGTCCCAAGTCCCTCAGTGCCTGGCCAGGCTCAGGGCATCCATGTGGTATCCAGGTGGCCATGTCTCCTTCTGATAGAACACAGGGTTCCCTGCTCCTGAAAATGGGTGAGCAGTCCACAACCACTCTCATTAGCAGGAGGCCTGGGTGTTGGAGGCCCTTGCTGAGAGCCCAGCCACCCTTCTGGCCCTGCTATCTCATCCCATGCCCTTGATACCTGTGGAGCTCATGGTGTGGGGACGCCTGTGTGTCGACCTCAGTGTCTTCATGGCCAGAGGCTGCACAACTCGTTCCCAGCCTGTTGGGAGTGGCAGAGTTCCCAGCTGCTTATTGATTCTGACCTTACCATGTGCCGGCTCTGCCCAGTGTGCAGAGACTTCAGACCGCACCCCTGCCCCAGAACTGAGGCCATCCTGGGCATCAGCACAGGAAGTGAGAGCTGTCTATGGGGAGCCCCAGAGTTGTGGAGGGGGAAGTAGTACATGGAGATCCCTTGGCTTGGGCTGTGGTGCTCCTTGGACACATGGATGCCAGGCTCAGGGAGGAGCTTCCTTGCCGAGGGCAGGGGAGGTAGCCAGGGGCTATCCCTGCCCAGCTGTCCCTAGTCCCTGTGCTCTCGACGAGTCATACTCCTGGGAACTGGCCACCAGGTACCCACCTGCCTGGATGTGGGGCTGTCCCCATTCTGATCGGGGGACAGACCTCTGGGCAGCAGTTCCTGAGGGCTCCCTGTGCTGGTTCACGTTTGCGTGAACAGCATTCGAGCTGTGTCCACAGGATCTGGGCACCACCCGAGCAGGGGGGCAGTTGTCCAGCAGGTGCCTGGGTCAGGGGCCAGGCTAAAGGCTTATTAAACCCAGCCTGAGGGAAGGCCAGTGGTGTGACATCCAGGGCTCTGGACCTGCCTGTGGGCACACAAAATTCAGACAGGGGTGGGGGGTTGTTGTAGCTGAGGGTCCTGCCCCTGGGTCTGTGCTGGGAGGAGTGGGGCCTGTGGGCAGGTGGCAGACTTGGAGGCTGTTCCCAAAGATGTCTAGGAGAGAGGCCCCGTGGCTGGATGGTGGGCTCTTATCACTAAGGGGGATGGAGCCATCTCAGGCCTTCTCTGGTGTGACTCAGCAGCCCCCCTTAGCATGGAGATAGGGGGTTCTGGCTCCATGTTGTGCCAGAACCTGGAGAGAAAGGTGAGTGGTGGAGGGATGGTGGGCTGGCAGAGGAGGGGTTAGCTGGGGAGCAGGAACCTCAGACAGCCAATGCACGGGGGGAGGGTTGGTGGGGAGGGGCCATGGGGGATGTGGTGGTCCCAGGTGCCTCAGCCCCAGGTGCACACTCAGCACTGAGCATCTCTCAGGCAGGCCACCCAGACCTCGTCAGTTCCAGGGTGACTTCCTGGGGAGAGCTGGTGTGGGGACACTGCTCCCTCAGCCCTGGGCAGCCTGGCCCTGCTCAGGACAGCAATCCCCCAACCGCTGTGGGGGTGCTGCCACACGCCCAGGAAGGCGGACCTCTGATGGCCTGGAGCCCCCACTGACAGCAAGGGCCCCTGCCTAGCCCTGGGCTCCCTGTGCTCATGGTCACCAGCCCCTCCCTTCCCATCTCAGTCCCCTGGGCTGAGGGTTGCGGGTTCATCCTGTGAGGCCCGGGCTTTGTGGGATATGGGGCGACGGCCTTCTTTGACAAGAAGCAAGTTTCAGTGAACATACCCATTTTATTAATGATCAGGCACACCTCTTAAAGGGCAGACAGAAGGGGCGTAGCTAATTCAGGGCAACACTAAGTCTATAGGATAGAGCCAATATTGGCCCTGCTAGGCTCCTCCATCAGCTTGAAGGTCACATGGACTAGAGCCTTCCCGATGGGCCTGGGCCACACCCGGAAGTATTTCCCTGATAGGCAATTACAGGGCCAGGGTGGGGGAAATGTGCCTGTGGCTTCTGCTGCCTGCCAGCAGTCAGGCTCATCTCCTGCATGGGCTGGGCAGGCAATCCCCCAGCTAGGGGCAGAATCACCCACATCACCCTGTCTATATGGACAAAATCTCTGCCCATAGTATAGCCTTTCACTCCGCCAGGCCCATCGTGTCCCAGGCCTTTAATCCACTTCCAAAGAGGAGAGCTTAGTCTGACTGGCAGGTGGGTGTACAGATGTGGTCAGGTAGGGGCATGAGGGCGTGGTCTTCCAGCTCACAAACCTAATCCTATATGCCCGCCTACATCACAGCCCCTTCAGAGACTCCAGTCCCTTAATCCTAAGGGATGCTGAAGGCTGTAGAATCATCACATCTTCTATAGCTGCTTCCTGCTTATGAGGGGCGTAGTGCAGGCCCTGCCTTGCTGGGGCTGGGAGTCTCTGCCTAGCTCATCCAACAAGTTTGCTTTGTGAGCTGGAGCGGTCTCGGTCCCTGCCAATGTCTGTGTCCCCTGCATGGTCAGCTACTCCCAGAAGTTAAGTTCTGAAACAGATAAGCTTGTTAAGTAGCATAACAGAAGTGGAACAGGACCAAGAAGTGAACAAAAGTCCAGTGCCCCATAAGATGGAAAGAATGTACCGTATAGACTCCCACATAGTGGGTGCTGATAGATTATAAACCCATTTCACTTGAGCGTAGATTTCAATAGAAAAACACATGAGGACTTGCATGTCAGTAGCAGCTCCCAGAGAGAATTGAGAGAGGCAGGCACAGGTGTCTGAAGGGACAGCAGCACTCTTGATGTGAGGACTGTCAAAGCTTTACTCTCTTTGCTCAAAGCCTCTACTTGGCTTACAGGAATAATCAGCTGTGTCTTTTGCAATTCACCTGAGAAGACTTAAGAGGTAGAACTTTCATCTTAACCTCACTGGGGTGGGCGTGCTCAGTAGCACCTGGTGAAGTCCCTTCCATGTAAGCTATAACTGACCTGAAGAGGATCCTTCCATGAATGCCTTCCTCAAGAATTCCTGAAGTTGGAACTTTGTTAACAGTGCCTTCATTCCTTGGAACACCTTTTGCAGCTAACCTCCTGCATGGGCTAGGCAGACAATCTCCAAGCTAGGCATACAATCACCCACAGATAATGAAACTGGTTCTTCCCTGGCCCACTAGGGAGCCAGAAGTGTCTGATCAGGGACCTGTCCACACCACCTCTCCATCTCCCTTGCTTTCCAGTGAGCAGAAATTGCCCCAAGACAGCATCCCAGGGGCAAAGGTAAGGACAAGTCCTTGGCCATGGGCCAGTCATCTGGAAGCAGAGCTGGGTGGAGGGGGCACATGGGGCTTGGCAGTGGTTAGTGGGAGTGCCATAAGGTCCTGCGATGCAGTACTTGCAGGGCACCTGCTGACACCTTAACACACTCACCTGTGCCAGAACTGAGCCACAGCTCGGGGTGTCTGCCTGTCAGCTGCCAAGACTCATTGGCATGGTTGGGAGTGACCTGGCTGGAGCTCAGGGGCTCTGCCTATTGGGGTGGGGCAGCTCGGGTCAGAGGCCAGGCCACCAACACTCCCTCAGACAGAAGACCTGGGGCTCACGGTCTGTGCCTTTTCTGGCTCCTTCCTTTGAGCACACACAGAGCTCCGGAGCTGCATCCGAGAGCCACTGTCAGAAACCTGCATCTGGGCTCATGCCATCCTGTCTCATTTTCCAGCATAAACAGGTGCGCAGGATCCAGAAATGGATCAAAATGATGAAAAACCACTCCAAATACCATGGCAGCGAGAAGGTACCGTGGAGCTGAGGGCCCCTCGGGAACACTGACAGCTGAGTTGGGGTTTGAGCAGTGCCCATTCCCGTGCCAGGCACCGCCTGCCTCTCAGATGCCCAGGGGCAACTGTCCAGCCCCCAGGGACACAGGTCATGTGCACCCCTTCCCCATACACGCAAGACACTGTCTTGGTAGAAAATCTGAAGTCACTGCTGAAGACAATCCCGCATGCAGGGCAGGTGTGGTTCCAGGAGCCCTATAGGGGGCTGGCAGTGCACGGTGGAGCCAGTGCCCCTGAGCCCTTGGCCCCCAGTCACTGTGGGTCATAAGGCCCCCATCTGGGCAGATCCTCCCTCTGCCAATACTCACGGAGCCCCTGGCTTCTCCCTCCTGCTGTCTCACCCTGCGCTCCCTCCCCGAGTGGCCACGTTCACCACTCACCAGAGCCTCCTCTCTCCTGTAGTTTCAGCAGAGAATCTACAAGGGCATCCATGCTCAGGTGCGCGGGAAGATGTGGGCCATGATGCTGGAGGTGGAGAAGAAGAAGGCCCAGAATCCAGGCAAGCACACGGTACGGCTCTGCACTCAGCTCAAGGGGGCAATGCGCCTTATTTGAAACCTAATGGCCAATTCGGTATACAACCTGGTGAGTATTCTGGGATCATGTCCCAGGTCCTACCCCAACAGTCCCCAGGAGCTTGGCAGTGTTGGGATGCTCCTCCCAGGACTAGTGCCCCACAGGTCGGGGTGGGGATGGAGATGAGCCCTGTGACTACGCTGTGGAAAAGATAGTAGAGATGCGTCCTGCTGATGCCATTGCACCTGTCAGATATGTGGCAGGTGCCAAGGGCCCGAATCCCACTCCACACCATGCCACTGCCACAACCACCCACTCAGACCTTTCCAATGAGGTGAGCAGGTGCAGGACTCCATGGGTGACCCACCAAGGCCTGGGCATCCCCATCCCGCTGACCTGCCACTGACCAACTTTGCCTGGAGCCCTGGGGCCTGGCACTGCCTGCACCCATGACAGAGGCACACTTCCCTGTTCCGGCCCTGGCCTGGTGCACTTCCTGGCTTACTTCTCCCTCATGTGAGAAAGTGCCAACAGGTCACCTGTGGAGCTCACGGATCCAGCAGCTACCATGGGTGTGGAGCCTGGATTCTTACAGCAGCCTGGCCCATCCTGACATCTTGGGGGTGCAAGGTGTCCTTGCTTCTGGTCTCCCCCCTGTGCTGCATGAGCTCAGGCCCTGTAGGATTCTCCAAGAACACTGAGATGTGGGCTCCAATTCTTAGGATGCCAACACCAAGTGGCAGGATTCAGGCTGAGGGGGCGGCCAGAGGGGCTGCCTCCTCAATCTTCCTGGGCCCTTCAGTGGGTGACCCTGGTCTCCCTGAGAGGTGGGCCATCCCAGGAGAGTTCATTCTTGCCAGGGGAGGTCAGCTAGAGGCATTCTGGGGTCTGGCAGGAGGTGGGCTACAGCCATGTGTTGGGGTTCTTGCTTATGTTCATGACCGAGGGGACTCTTTCTGGGCCCTGGCCCAACTCGTGGAAAACAGCAAGCACATGATGCATGGTAGGTGGTTGGCATGTGGGGACCAGTGCATGCAAGTCCATATACAGCCCTCATTGGCTCCTGAATGTGCAGGACAATGTCCCTGTGGTGGGGCTCCCTAGAAACCAGGGCTGGCAGAGGAATCCTAGACTGAGCCAGTCCCTTTCTCTCCCCAAAACCCAAAATCCTTGCAACCAACCAAGGCCATCGTGTGTGTGGGAACTTTCAGAACAAGGGGTCCTGTCATTGGTCATATGACACAGGTCCCGAGTGTCCCTTCTAACTCACAAACTCTATGCTTCCTCTCAAGCACAGAGCCACACCCAGGGAACTTGCAGAAGGCAGCATCCCCTGTGGGGTCACCCCCTCCTCACTCCTGAGTGTCAGAATGGTCAGGAGGCACCCAGTTTGACAGCACCCACCCCAGCGGGCTGCAGGGGCAGCCTGGCCTGGGCTGTACACAGTCACCCACCTGCACCCATCTCCCAAGCAGGTCCTCTGCCCTGGCCATGTTCGTTCCCACCTGCCCCTGGCCGAGCCTCCCCTGACCCTCAGTGCTCAGGTACACCCCACCCCGGCCTTGGGCTCTCCAGCCTTCCTAGGAGGAGGCTCTAACGTGGGGGTGTGGCTGATACTACTCAGGTTTCTACAAACCAAACACCCCAAAACTGGAGCGATTCCAGCAACACCTGGGAGATATTGTGCATCGCATGCTCCCCTCCCTGGAGACAACCGGGTAAGTAAAGCATCTCCTTTCTCCTCTCGAGGGACTCTGTGCTCAGGGAGCAGAGGTCAGAGAGGGGTCCTGACTCCCTCCTGGGCCAGGCTTTGCTTGGTTACTGGGGTCTGCAGCATATTGGGTGCTGGGTTGTTTTCCAGCACTTGTTCCCCCAGAGTTTGCGTAGATTGCAGGGAGACACTGTCCCCAGGGCAGAGTGGACTGAGGGACCTGTGTCCCTTCAGGAACCTGCATGGCTGGGAGAGGGGATGCACCTGCTGCTGGGCTTCCTGCACCCAGGGGCTCTGCCACAGGGCTCAGATTAGAGGGAGTCAGGCCTGAGGCCTGGGCCCTGGGCCCTGGGCCCTGGGCCCTGAGCCCCCTCTGCCTCTTCTTAGGAGAAGGAGGGTGTGTGCCTGGAGGACTCCACCACCCACTGGTACATCCAGTGCTTCCTGGATGGGGTAAATGCCCCAGGGACCCCTTGCCCAGGAAAGCCCCTGCCCCAGTGCCTGGCTCTCTGGTCCTGGTGGCCTGTGACTCTGAACAAGGCTGAGCTCCCCCAGCCCCAGCAGACACAGGAGGGAGTCTGCTGTGCAGACCAGGCAGGTCCTGCCCTGCTGAGGGTGGTCCAAGCTGAGGCTGAGCCTTAGGGCCAGCAAGGAGGGGAAAGGTCCCACCAGGACCCATCCTGAGAGCCTGGCAAAGGCCAGAGCCCTACAGTGAGAGGCAGGAGACCCATAGACCCCCAGTGGCAGAGGCTGGTGTCAGCACAGCCCAAGGACTGACCCCTCCCCCAGGACCCTGGGGTATCTGGCATCTCCAGTGTGGCTTCCAAAGTGTGCAGATGCCCAGGGTCCAGGACAGGACATGGTCATCACTCTGGGTGTGGTTCCCTGAGTGGGTGGGGGTGCCACTGTACACCCACCCCCTGTGGGCCCTGCTGAGGCCCTGACGCGTGGGGTCCTCCAATGCCTGCTGTCCTCCAGGCGCCTTTCTCCCTGGTTCTGAGGATGTAGGACATCTATATCCTTGAGAGTGAGCACGTGCTCACCACCATGACCTATACAACTCTCAAGGTCCATCACAGTAAGTCCTCAGAGCCCACCGAGGCCAGGGTGCAGGGATGAAGGAGCTGCCTGGCTGTGGTGAGATGGACTTATGGGAGGGACTAGGAAGTTTCTGAGTCCTGGGTCTACTTGGGGAGGGCACTGAGAAACCCCTGTTACACTCCCAACCCCAGCAACACACAGTGCACAGATTGGGATGGCCAGGGTCACTGCCCAGGGAAAGCGGCCCCTGGTCCTCCAGTGCAAGGCATGACATCCATGGGTGTCCAAGGGGGCTACTCTCCCCCCATGATTCAGGGGCTGGGCTGTGGAGCTGTCCTTAGGCCCTGCTTGTGGCTTTGGCTCCTTGGCTGACCTCCACTCTGGGGTAGAGTCGAGGCCCTGCCTTTAGCTTCCCCGCCCAAGTCTGGAGCAGGTGTCCTGGCTCACTGTCCCCAGGAGCCCGGAGCACAGCTGGACCCCCACTCCAGCAAGATCAGAAGCAGCCCTGCCTGCCCAGGGGGCCTCTCACAGACTGACCCCACGCAGGCTCCTGGCACTATGACCACAGCTGTCTGCACACAGGACTCTCCTAGCACAGTGGTGGGAGGGTCCTACCTGCATGTGGGCAGGGCTAGAGGGAGGTGGGGCTGTGAGAGACCCTGTGCAGTAAAGGCCAAAGCCAGCTGGCACTGGATCCCCTTCAGCCATCTGAGGACCCCTGGTGCCCTGAGCCCAGTTATGGGGGCCGGGTCCACTCCTGTGAGCAGAGCAGGTGCAGAGGCAGGCACTGGGGGCCCCTAGGGCAGAACCCAGAGTGTAGCTGTTTGAGATTTGCATTCCTAGCCTGGGGCCTACAGAGAGCAGCAGAATCCACAGCATTGCTCCTGGTGGGCTCTGGTGGGGAGGGGTCCCCATGCTAGTCCCCTGCTGCTGCCATCAAGGACCTGAGCACCTGGGTCCCCATGCAGAGCAGAGATGGGTTTTCCCAGCTCTAGAGGCTGGCAGTGGGGGCCCAGGGGCAGGCTGTTCAAGCACTGGTGAGGCCCCATGGCAGCCCTGCCACCTCTTTATAATCAGCACTCCCTGTCCCCGAGGGCCTGGCCCAGACTCCAAGTCTGCCCCAGAGCCCCAGCTCTCACCACCACCACCTCAGCCATTTAGGAGGGGTACAGATACCTGTCCTTAGGGTGGTCCTGTGTCAGGGCACAGGGACGTCAGGTGGAGCAGGTGTTGGGAACAGCACAGGGTCCTGAGTTGCTCCCAGTGGTCCCCAGAGATGAGAGAGTGAGGCAGGGAGGTCAGGGCCCCACCACACCTGTGGGGGCTGTGCGGGAGCAGCCGGAGGGGTCCCCAGGCTGCTCACACCTTTCCCTCTGTGGTCATCAGCCTACAAGAGTCCTCAGCATCACATGGGGTGATGGGGACCCCAGGGTGACGTCAGGGCAGGCAGTCTGCAGGCCAGATGGAAGCTGTGGAGAAGCAAACCACGCCTGTTCTTCCAGAAAAGGAAATAAACATTGCAGCAGGCCCCTGGGGCAGACACGCAATCCCCAGAAGCACATTCCTGCTCCCACAGCCCTGGTGGCCAAGATCACCGGGGAGGACATGCGGGCACTGTGGGAGCAGACCAGGGCTCTAGCTTCCCACCCAGAGAGGAAGCTCCCCTGTGGGGAACTCACAGTCTCCACGTGTGGCCAGTCCCTCTGAGACTCCCGAGAGCTCGTGGGGGAGGGGAGGGCTGTGCCAGTGTGTGAGTCTCCCAAATCTGAAAATGCCCCAACACACGGAAGATGAGGAGTCTTTCGATGCTGGCAGCCAGGAAGGCCTCTGGATGTGGGCTCCTCCACGGGCCTCAGAGCCCCCGGAACCAGGGCCCATGCAGGCCGTCCTAGCCTGGGGGCCACGGCTGAGGACTCCCTACCTGTACGGCAGCCCCACACACTCTGGGTACAGTCACAGGCTGGAGCCGGCCAGAGCCAGCCCTGTGCTTGGAGACCAGGCCCAGTGCCCTCCCTGGCTCAAGGCCTCCGTGCCTCCTATTCCACGGGACACCTGGATTATGGGTGCCTCCTGGAAGAGGCTGAGCCCACCATGTGTCCTGCCCAGGCTGGGCAGCAGCCTGCCGTTCTCTACACAGAGTCCTCTACACTGGATTCAGCCCCCCACCCACCCAGTGGCCCTCCCCATCCTCTTCCTGTTTCAGGGCAGAGGGGTGTCAGGACTGCTGTGGACATCCCCAAAGCTTGAAGATGACAGCACAGAGCCAGGAGCCACTGGACTGTTCCCACCCCCACCATCAAGGAGAACCTTTAGGCCTTTATTCTTGATGCTGACGTGTATTAAATTGTTCCTATGTATTTAAGTGTTAGATTGGAACATGTCTGCTCCAGTTTTGTGACCCGCATAGCCCAGCTTCAGCAGGGCTTCTCTGTGTTTCTGACGAGTGTTGGAGGCTCCACAGCCCCCACCCCAGGCAGAGATCTGCACAGCACCCTGAAGCTAATGCCTGAGATTCACCTGTGCCCTCCAGGGGGCTGGCTCAGGGCTGGGAGAGCAGCAGTGAGTGCCCGTGAGCTCTGGGACAGATCTGGACCATAGGGACAGCTGTGGGGGGAGGGAATATCCATACAATGTTTCATTTGACAATATTGCTAGAGGAAGCTTTACAGATACAAATGTATATATTAAATAATACAGATGTCAAGTCAATAAATTTTTACCTTTAAAGACTAGAAGAGCAGAAGAACCCCAAGGGTAATGGAAGGAGGTAAAAGAAAGATAAGAACTGCAATCAATCAATCTGAATAGAGAAAACACATGACCAAAATTCCATGAACCACAAGCTGATTTCTGCAAGGATCAGTGAAAATGACAAACTATTCTCTAGAGAAGACAAAAGAAAAGGAAAGACGCAAGTTATTTCAGATCAGAAATAAAGAAGCAGACATCACTACTCACCTCACAAAAAGGATCGGGGAACTCTATGGAAAATCATAAGCCAGTTCTTTAGACAACATTGATAAAGTGGATGATTTTCTGTAAACACACAAAGTGCCAAATGTCACTCATGTAAAAATAGGAAATCTGATCATATTGTACTCAAACAGATTGAAGTAGTAAGAAAGAAATCCCATGAAGAAATGTGCAGGGCCCAATGGCTTCACTGGTGGGATAGCCAACACATATCAAGGATGATTAAAACCAGAATTCAGAAACCCTCTCGATGCCGATGAAGAAGAAGTGCCTGCCATTTGATGTCAGGGCACCAGTATGAGCCTGATGTGAAAATAAAACTACATCATACAGAAAACTACAAACAAGTATCACCTGTGAATATACAAAAATGATCAGCAAATGGAATCTAGCATAATAAAAGGTTTACACACTCTGATTAACTGAGCATAATTCCAGGAATTCAAGGATGGTAAACACGAAAGGGCAATCAATGTAATAAACAGAATAAGGACACACACACAGGCCTTTAGAGACACAGCAAAGGTATCTGAAAAAACTGAGTGTGTCTCTATACCCCAAACCCATCCTCCTCTGACTATTTTAGTAAATAGTAAAACCTATGAGAGATCAGGTACGTTTTCAGAGAAGAACATTGACACCATATTGCATACAAGTGTGCTAGTCCCACAGAACCCAGATGTGGCATTATGTTCCTAGCCATCTTTCTGACTAGGAAATGACTTCTGCATAAAGTTTCAAAGGAAGACCACAAGGAGACCTTAGCCTCTCCTTCTGAGAACGGATAGTTACCAACTTACACCACCCACTGCTACCTGATCAAGTCTGGAAAGTTCTTGAAAAACCAAAATGCACCTCCCGAGGCAAGGGTTGTGAGAAGACAAGTTTGCCAGCTTTCACCTGGGCAATGCCCACAACCCACAGTGGTTGAACCAGACAGTGGACAACACTGAGTCAGGTGTGAGGGGTCTTCAGAGAGTTCATGGGAAATACACATTAACTGTTAAACTCCATTGATCCAGGGAGGTTTTGAAGAAAGACATAGACCACCATCAGGAGGAGGAAGCAAATCTTCCTGTTGGGCACCTGGATGGTCTATGATCTATGGTCAACATAGATATAATAGACTGATTCAGAAAGACACAAACTGCTAAAACTGACTCCAGTAAAACTAAAAACTCTGAATATACTTATAATTTGAAAAGAGATTGCTGTATCAGAAAAACAAAAAAACCATGAAGAAAAGTCCAGGACCAGATGGCTCCAAAGGCGAAAACACACATTTAAAGGATAATTGAAGTCCTTGATTCGCAAACTCTCCCAAAAAGGAGACAAATAGGAAAAACATTCCATTTTATTCCATCAGACCAGCATTAGCCCAACAGCCAACACAAACAGATCATAAAGAAAATGGCACACAAATATCTGTTATGAATGTGTCCCATGCCTCAACAAAAGGTTACCAAACCCTATCCAGAAGCCCAACAAAAGGTTCGCACACTCTGTGCATCTGGGAATTACTTCAGTAATGCAAGGATGGCTACCATATAAAAATCAATATATCACAGAACAGAATAAACATGGGAAAAGCCTACAAAGCACCCCTATAGACACAGCAACCTATTTTGCATAAACTTAATTACCTTTGAGATATTAAAGAAATCACCAAATTAGGAACAAAGGCCAACCTCGGCCGGACAACGATCTTTCATGAAAAATGCACACAGCGCGGCATCACACTGAATGCAGTAACCAGAAACCATCCTCGGAGCCCAGGAAACAGACAAGCATGTTCGCTCCTACTCCTGGGTCAGGGGGCTCAGAGGTCTAGAGCAGGGTGGCTGGGCCATCAACAAGGACACAAAGGGGAACACGGGCCGTTCCGGGAGCAGGCAGAGCCACCTCTGCTCTCCACAGCTGCTCACACACTGGGCAAAGTTCCAGGGTCCGCACAGCACCACTGCGACTCCGCCCACGCCCTGCTCCCTGCAGGACCCCAGAGCAACAGGCAAGGTGCAGAGGCCTGGCCCAAGCCAGCAGGGAAGCCCCCAGCAGGAACCCGGGACACCCCCTCACTCACCACAGGGAGCCCCGTTGTGCTTGCTGGACATAGGCCCGCGAAGGCCTTTGCTTCAATGCTGCCTCAGGCCTTCAGTGCAAGGCCCACCCGTGGGAGCCGCCGCCCAGCGCCCTGCTCCACCCACGATGCCCCCTGCAGTTCCCATGGAGCACCCAGGAAGCCAGTGGCCTCGGTGTGGTGAGGGCGCTGTGGCCTGCGCTGAGACCCAGCACACACAATGGCTGCCTCCACCCACCTGGGCCCCTGCACCCGCATGGGACCTGGAAGACTCCAGCCTCTGTGGCCATTTGGAGAGGGAACCAGCAGGTCAAGACTTGGCCTTCCAAAGAAGTAAATAAATCTTTTAAAAAAAATAAATGAACACCTGTGCATGGAATTCAAAATTTTTCATACCAAATAAACTTCTCTCTATTTCCTTATTTCTTTTCATCTGAAAGGCTCACCACACCACACACACACACACACACAACACACACAACACACTTATATCCACTACTTCACTCTCCAGTGTCTGCAATAACCAGGGCTGTGTCTCACGAACACACACGCACACATACACACACACAATCCAATCTGTAGCTCTGAATTCAAATACACAAATAGCCTTAAAAACATAAAATCAAATAGGGGCCAGCATTCTGGCATGATGGGTAAAGCTGCCGCCTGTGGTGCCAGCATCCCATGTGGGCACCGGTTCCAGTCCTGGCTGTTCTGCTTCCAATCCAGCTCCCTCCTTGCCCTGGAGGGCAGTGGAGGATGGCTCAGGTGCTTGGGTCCTTGTATTCCTGTGGGGGACCTGGGGAGGCTCCTGGCTCCTGACTTCAGATTGGTCCGGCTATTGCGGACTGTTGCGGCCACTTATGGAATGGACCAGCAGATGGTCCCTGCTACTGTTCCTGGGAAACAGCCGAGGATGGACCAAGTATTTAGGGCCCTGCCCTATGTGTGAGACCTCCATGAAGCTCCTGGCTTTGACCATCTCTGTAGCCTCTGTGGCCATTTGGAATGAACCTGTGAATAGAAGTACTCTGTCTGTCTTAACTCTGCCTTTCAAATAAATCAATCTTTAAAAAACATTAGAAACAAAAAAATGGTCTTCAGCAGGTGCCACTGCAGGCAAAAATGGAAATGAAAAGCAACCATCCTGGGAGAGGCAGAATCACCCCTGTTCTCCCCTAGCATGAGCTCACATTCAGAAAAGTGCTAAGCAATCCACAGCAGTAGTAGAACTCCCAGCATGAGAGCAATATGCAAAGAAGAATGGCATGGCACAGGCTGACAGGGAAGAATCACAAAAGGAAACTAGAAGTCTTCCTCACTCACCTTAAAAGGTCTCTATGCTGGATCAGAGAAACAAGTCCACGAGATTTTCCACTTCGCACGCTGCTTCAGCCCAGAGCCCGAGGCTCAGGCAGAGGTAGCAGCCGACCATGGACCTGAGAGCAGCTGGGCCAGGTGGCTTCCATGGAGCACCAATGGGAAGCAGCCGGCTGCTGGAAGAACCACCACACGTGGTGCTAGGTGCAAAGGCCTTGGTGAAATCCACCTCAAACACGGAGGCTGCACACACATTCCCTGGGAGAGAATCCGCCCCATCAGGGACACGCCCTGGGAGCAGAGACTCGGAAACTCACACACAGCCACCTCTAGCATCCAAGCTGTCAGAGGTGCCCAATGGAGGAGGGGCAGGCAGGTGATCACCCGGTCCCTCAGGGGAATCGGCTTCTGGCCCCCAGTGCGGTTTTCCTCTAGGTATCCACACTGACACTGACCTGGAACACGGAGGTCACAGAAGTGCCTGACAGCCACGTCTCCAGAAAGATGAAGCGCAGAGATGACACTGTCTTCCAGGGTTCCATGCCTAACACAGAAAAGTACATAATCATAGCATCAAGGAGCAGAGCAAAGGGGCTTATAAGCTGGTAAGAGGTCCACAGTTCATGTGAAATGGATGGAAACATTGATTCTAATTAGGCTGTGATACAGTTAAGGAATTTTTGCAAAAAGTAACGGAAAATTTTTGAAAGAAGGTACAAATATAGTGGGTTTAATTAAAATGGGTAAAATATGTCCTGGTGGATGTTCCAAGAAGGTGGAGCATGGAGGGAACTTACTAATCTTGCTCAGGAGAAGATAGTTTTTAAAAAGTAGAGACAAAGTAGCCTAAGGGAAGAGTTAGGGAAAAATGGTAGAAGAAACTCTACCAAAATTAGAGGGACAAGGTGGACCTCCATGGAGGGTGTGGGCGCCCATGGCTCAGGACTCCAACTTCTGGGAGCCAATGCAACAGCGCTGGAAAGTGAGGTGAGACTAGACTGCAGCAGTCCAAGCCACTGGTGAAAAAGCGGCAGGAAAAGCCTAGAGGGAACCAGCCTCGGTGCCCCATGGGGGAAAGTGTATCAGCCAAGTAGAGGAGGAAAAAAAAAAAAAGAGGAAGGGACGGACATGTTTCCCTCTCCTGAATCACTTTGCAATGGTGTACCACAACAAACCGATAGAGTGGGTGCCGTTTTGGATATACATACAGCTGCAATAGCTCGTGGCTACACCCGGCACCCAGCCAAGCAGAGACTCCTGACTCTGGTGGGGAGAACTAACAGGGGGCTAAGAGCTGGTGACTGTGTGAAGCTTGTGAACTGGGAATGTGAAAGAAACTGAGGGTGTGTGGGAGGAATCACGATGTGGCTGGGACTCTGAGTAGTCTCACTGGGAGACTCCACAAGCTCAGGGGTTCCTGGTTACCTGGTGAGAGACATTGCTGGGGAATCTGAACTTACACTGAGGACCACACAGATCCTTGAGCCGACAAATACTATATCCTCTGGGGCTAGCTTTCAGACACTGGTCTCCATAGAGGAGAAGAGCTCAGCTGAGCAGTATACCTTGCTTTTGATTGCAAAAATAGAGAAGATTTGCCACACCAACCTGGGTGTATCACCTTAGGCACGCCCTTACCCCTGGAGAACTGAACATAGTTCTCTGGACACAACCACTACAAGCCTCTAGAGATTCACTGAGCAGACAGTCCACTTATCTACAGAGTCATAATACAATGATAAAAGACACTACAGCAAAAAAAATAAAAAAGAGGAATACCAAACATAGCTCATTAGATTATATAGAGTAATAAAAATCAAATGCACAAAGTACTAAAATTCATGCAGGACATGAAAGATAATTTATCCCATGAAATTGAGATCTTAAAGAGGAATCAAAATGAAATGAAGAATTTATAGAACATGAAATTGAGATATTAAAGAGAAATCAAAATGAAGAATTCAATAGATAAATAAAAATGCAGTGGAGAGCATTAAAAACAGAATTGGTGAAGCAGAAGAGAGACTATCGAACTAAGAGGACAAAGCACAGCAAAGTATACAGTCAAATCAAGACAAGAAGAGGAAATTAGAAAACTGAAAAACACTGTTGGGAATCTACAGGATACTATAAAAAAAAAGTATGGGTACTAGGAGTCCCTGAAGGCATGGAGAGAGAGAAAAGATTAGAAGGCCTTATTAGTGAAATAATAGCAGAAAACTTCCAGGGTTTGGAAAGAAAGGGACCTCCAACTATAAGAAGCACACAGAACTCCCAACTGACATGACGAGAAAAGATCCTCACCATGGCATACTGTCTTCAAACTCACCACAGTGAAATATGAAGAGAAGATTCTAAAACGTGCATGAGAGAAACACCAGGTTATTTTCAGAGGCTCTCCAATTAGACTCATAGTGGACTTCAAACCCTACAGGCTAGGAGATAGGCAAGATACAGTCCAATTCCTAAGAGGAAAAAAAAAAAAAACTCATCCCAGAACATTATACCCTGCAAAGCTCTCATTTGTTAATGAAGGTGAAATAACAACAAACAGAAATTGCAATAATTTGTCACCTTCAGTCCAGCCCTGCAAAAGATGCTTAAAGATGTGCTGCACAGATACACAGAAACTCAGACACATGGTCATCAATACGAAAGAAGGTAAAGGAAGAAAATCTCTCAGTAAAAGGTCAAAGGAAGTTCAAAGTATAAATTATGAATGTCTTTGGAAGCTAGCAGGGCAAAGTCCTTCCTTATCAGTAGTCACATGGAATGCAAGTGGCCTCAACTCCCCAGCATAAAGACACAGACTGGCTGAGTGGATTAAAAAACAAAACTCATCTTTTTGATGCCTACAAGAAACACATTTCACTAACAAAGATGCATGGAGACTGAAAGTGAAAGGATGGAAAAAGATATTCCATGCCTACAGAAACCAAAAAAGAGCTGGTGTAGCCATCTTAATGTCAGACCAAATAGGCCTTAACACAAGAACTGTTAAAAGAGAGAAAGAAGAGCATATGTATAGAATGATTAAGGGACCAATGCAACAGCAAGATGTAACTATTATAAAGGTATATGCACCTGATTACAGGGCACCTGGCTATCTAAAAAGAATGTTAAGGGATCTAAAGGGAGACATAGACTACACCACAATAGTACTGGGGGAATCAGGTTTCTACTTTCAGCAATGGACAGATCAACCTGACAGAAAACCAACAAGGAAACAGCAGATTTAGTTGACTCTATAAAACAAACAGACCTCACAGATATCTACAGAACTTTTCATCCTACAGTTGCAGAATAAACACTCTTCTCAGCAGCACATGGAACTTTGCCAGGAGTGATGACATACAAGGCCATACAGCAAGTCGCAGCAAATTCAAAACAACAGAAATCATACCATGCATCCTCACGGACCACAACAGAATGAAGCTAGAAATCAGCAGCTCAGGAATCCCTAGAGCATATGCAAACACATGGAGACTGAACAACATGCTCCTGAATGAACAGTGGGTCACAGAAGAAATCAAAAGAGAAATCAAAACATTTCTGGAAACAAATGAAGATGACAACACAACATATCAAAACTTAAGGGATACAGCAAAAGCAGTGTTAAGAGGAAAGTTTATAGCAATGCATGCCTATTCCAAGAAATTGGAAAGGCACCAAATAAATGAGCTCTCAAAGCTTCTCAAGGATCTGGAAGAACAACAGCAAACCAAACCCAAAACTAGAAGGAGAACAGAAATTATTAAAATTGGAGAAGAAATCAAAAAAATTGTATCCAAAAAACAATACAAAGACCAATAAAACGAAGAGCTGGTTTTTGAAAAAATAAACAAAATTGACACATCATTGGCCCAAATAACCAAAAAAGGAAAGAGAACATCCAAATCAATAAAATTACAAATGAAAAAGGAAATGTAACAACTGACACCACAGAAAGAAAAAGAATCATCAGAAATTACTACAAAGAGCTGTATGCCAACAAACTGGGAAACAGCAGAAATGGATAGATTTCCTGGACACATACAACCTACCTAAATTGAGCCATGAAGATAGAGGAAACCTATACAAGGCCGGCGCCGCGGCTCACTAGGCTAATCCTCCACCTTGCGGCGCCGGCACACTGGGTTCTAGTCCCAGTCGGGGCGCCGGATTCTGTCCTGGTTGCCCCTCTTCCAGACCAGCTGTCTGCTGTGGCCCAGGAGTGCAGTGGAGGATGGCCCGAGTACTTGGGCCCTGCACCCCATGGGAGACCAGGATAAGTACCTGGCTCCCGCCATCGGATCAGCGTGGTGCGCCGGCTGCAGCATGCCAGCCGCAGCGGCCATTGGAGGGTGAACCAATGGCAAAGGAAGACCTTTCTCTCTGTCTCTCTCTCTCACTGTCCACTCTGCCTGTCAAAAAAAAAAAAAAAAAAAAAAAAGAAAGAGAGAAAACCTATACAGACCCATAACCAAGATGGAAATTGAATCAGTAATAAAGGCCCTCCCAATAAAGAAAAGCCCAGGGCTGGATGGATTCACTGCTGAATCCTACCAGACATTTAAAGAAGAACTAACTCCAATTCTTCTCAAGCTATTCAAAACAACTGAAAGAGAGAGAATCCTCCCAAATCCTTTCTACAAAGCCAGCATCACCTTAATTCCTAATCCTGAAAAAGATGCAACAGAGAAAAAGAATTATAGACCAATTTCCCTGATGAACACAGACACAGCAATCGTCAACAAAATTCTAGCCAATCAATCCAACAACACATCAGAAAGATCATCCACCCAGACCAAGTGAGGTTTATTGCTAGTATGCAGGGATGGTGCAATATTTGCAAATCAAACAAGGTGATACACCACATTAACAAACTGCTGAAAAAAATATGGCTATCTCAATAGATGCAGAGAAAGCATTTGATAAAATACAACTCTTTCATGATAAAAACTCTAAGCAAATTGGTATAGAAGGAATGTTCTTCAACACAATCAAGGCAATTTATGACAAACCCACGGCCAGCATCATAGTGAATGAGGAAAATTTCAAAGCATTCCCACTGAGATCCGGTACCAGACAAGGATGTCCACTCTCACTGTTGCTATTCAATATAGTACTGGACGTTTTCGCCAGAGCCATTAGGCAAGAAAAAGAAATCAAATGGGTACAAATTGGAAGGGAGAAGTCAAAATATCCCTATTTGCAGATGACAGGATTTTTTATATAGGGGATCCAAAGGACTCCACTGAGACTATTAGAACTCATAGAAGAGTTTGGTAAGTAGCAGGATATAAAACTCAGTACATAAAAATTAACATCCTTTGTGTACACAGACAATGCCATGACTGGGAAAGAACTTCTAAGAGCAATCCCATTCCCAATAGCTATAAAAAATCAAGTACTTTGGAATAAACTTAATCAAGGATGTCAAAGCTCTCTACAATGAGATTTACCAAACGTTAAAGAAAGAAATGGAAGAAATTCAAAAAAATGGAAAAATCTTCCATACTTATGGATTGGAAGAATCAATATCATCAAAATGTTTGTTCTTCCAAAAGCAATTTACAGATTCAATGCAATACCAATCAAAATACCAAAGATTTTTTTCACAGATCTAGAAAAATGCTGCTGAAATTCATACAGAGGCATAGGAGACCTAGAATAGTTAAAAAGCAATCTTTTACAACAAAAACAAAGCTGGAGGCATTACAATACCAGATTTTAAGAGAAACCATGGGGCAGTTATAATCAAAACTGCCTGGTACTGGGTAGACCAATGGAACAGAATAGAAACACCAGAAATCAATCCAAACATCTACAACCAACTTATATTTGATCAAGGAGCTAAAACCAATTCCTAGAAAAAGGATATTCTATTCAACAAATGGTCCTGGGAAAATGGGGTTTCCACATGCACAAGTATGAACCAAGATTCCTACCTTACACCTTATACAATATCCACAACATGGATTCAAGATCTAAATCTATGACTTGACATCATCAAATTATTAGAGAACATGGGAGAAACCCTACAAGATATTGGCACAGGCAAAGACTTCTTGGAAAATGCCCCAGAGGCACAGGTAGCCAAAGCCAAAATTAACAACTAGGATTCCATCAAATTGAGAAGTTTGTGTACAGCAAAAGAAACAGTCATGAAAGTGAAGAGGCAATTGACAGAATGGGAGAAATTATTTGCAAACTATGCAACCAATAAAGGATTCATAACCAGAACCTACAAAGAGATCAGGTAATGCCACCACAACAAAGCAAACAACCCACTTAAGAAATGGGCCAAGGACTTAAATACACATTTTTCAAAAGAGGAAATCCAAATGGCCAACAGACACATGAAAAAATATTCAGGATCACTAACCCTCAGGGAAATGCAAATCAAAACCAACATGAGGTTTCACTTCACCCAGGTTAAAATGGCTTTCATACAGGAATCAAGAAACAACAAATGCTGGTGAGGATGTGGGGGAAAAGGTACCCTAATCCATTGTTAGTGGGGATGCAAAATGGCAAAGACACTATGGAAGACAGCTTGAAAAGATACCTCAGAAATCTGAATATAGTCCTACCATACCACCCAGCCATCCCACTCCTCAGAATTTATCCAAGGGGAATTAAATTGGCAAATAAAAAGCTATCTGCACCTTCAAGTTTATTGCAGCTCAATTCACAATAGCTAAGACATGGAATCAATCTAAATGTCTATCAACAGAAGACTGGATAAAGAAATGATGGGATATGTAATCTATGAAATACTATACAACAGTTAAACAAAAGAAATCCAGTCATTTGCAACATAACAGAGGAATCTGGAAAACATCATACTGAGTGAAATAAGCCAGTCCCAAAGGGACAAATATCATATATTCTCCCTGATCGGTGACAACTAACTGAGCACCTAAAAGGCAACCTGTAGAAGTGATATTGACACTATGAGAAGCAATGATTTGATCAGCCCTTGTCTTGACTGTCGAGGAACAGCTTATTATTTTATTCCTTTTACTGTTTTCTTTTTCCACTTAATACCATTGGTTGAATTTTTTAATTAACACAGAATTACTCTTAGGTGGTTAAATCCAACTGAAAATTTATTGCTATAAAAATAATGAGTGGGAATAAGAGAGAGAAGAGATGTACAGTTCGGCACACATTCCTACAAACTTACACCTAAGTGTAAAGCTAAAAACTTGCCATGGGACTCCAAATCCCATGAAGTCGGCAGGTACTAATGCCACTATTACTAGTTAAAATGATCATTTTAAGTGTGTAACTGATCATAAAGATAGGAATAAGTGTCAAAGGGATCACATGAATAAGACCAAGTGTCTGCAAATATCAATAGATAGAATGAAAAAGGAGGTGGGATGGCGCTGTGCTGTAGCAGGTAGAGCTGCCGCCTGCACTGCCGGCATCCCACATGGGTGGCAGTTTGGGTCCTGGCTGTTCCACTCCTGATCTAGCTCTCTGCTAAGGCCTGGGAAAGCAGCAGATGGCCCAAGTCTTTGGGCCCTGCACCCATGTGGGAGACCCGGAGGAAGCTCCTGGCTCCTGGCTTTGGATAAGCACAGCTCCGGCAGTTGCAGCCAGAGGGAGTGTGAGCCAGAAGATGGAGGACTTCTCTCTCTCTGCTTCTGCCTCTTTGTAACTCTAACTTGCAAATAAATACATCTTTTAAAAAGCATTGAAAAGGAGAATATGATCCAACATGGGAAGCAGACCACAGACTCATAGAATGACAAACACACTAAACAGTACTCTGGCCTCAGAATCAGCCTTTACAGCATTCACATCTGGCTAAAAAGCCCTGTGAGCATTTCAGGCATGGAAAGCCAACACTGTGGCAAAACATGGCCTACATGGAAGATCTCTGTCAATGACATCCCAGTGGAAAGAAGGGATCATCAAAGAAGGAGGTATATTTCTCTGAAGGGAGGAGAGCACTTCCACATTGATTATGGCCCTGTCTAAATAATGACAGAGTTTGTGGACTCAAAAGGCTACAAGCACTACAGACAAGCAAGAAATGTGCACATGAGCTGACCGTTTTTGGTTCAACTTCAGTTTTAATCTACAAGACTCACCACCTCTTGTCTCTACGGGAGTCTGATAATTGAGCAACAGCTCGCAAACATGCATGCAACAGCATGTATAGTCTTTTGAAAGAACGTCAGAGAGTCTTTTTTCATACAAAAGGAGATAGCACAGTAAAACAAAAAGGCTAGAATCAAAGATATACTTTATATAATACAGCAAGGACCAATTCACCATGAAGACAACAATCCTCATTGTATACGCACCTCACAAATGAGCTCCGATAGAAGACAGGAAAACTGTTAAAATGGAAGGAGAAATTGAAAACACAGCATGCTCAAACTTGTGGGATGCAGTACTAGAGATTAACATGAGCATTAAACACTTCTTTGGGGGCAGGTGTGTGGCACAGTAGTTTGCAGGCTGGACCAAGGGGGCACATGAGGGCTCACCTGTCGAAGCTCTGTCCCAGCCACAGGTTCTGACAGGGGTCACGCCACATCCTCCTCTCCTCAGCCTGCTGATGACATTTCTGCTGGCCTCGTGACATAAAGTTCTTTTCTTCCACAATACACATATCTCTTCATTTCCTCCAAAATAAAATTATCTTTCCATTTCACTTTCCTGTGGCTTTCTGAAGTACTCTCCTGCATCTACTGAAGACATTGAATGCACAGTTACAAATTTCCCAGCAAAGAAAATAATAACCCCTCCTTGTTCATACAGCTCAACTAGTGGATTCCACCCATACTTTAATGAAGGAATAACACAAAATCTACACAAATAATTCAAGAAATTAGAAGGTGAAATACTCATTTTGAGTGATTTGAGTTAGTGTAATACCCAAATCACAAAACATACCGGGGCCAACACTGTGGGATAGTGGATAAAGCCGCTGCCTGCAGTGCCGGCATCCCTAGTGAGCACCAGTTTGAGTCCAGCTGCTCCACTTCCCATCCAGCTCTCTGCTATGGTTTGGGAAAGCAGTGGAAGATGGTGCAAGTCCTTGGGACCCTGCACCCACGTAGGAGACCCAGAAGCTCCTGGTTCCTGGCTTCAGATCAGCGCAGCCCTGGCCATTGAAGCAAAGTGTATGTGTGTGTGTGTGTGTGAGTGAACCAGCATATGGAAGACCTCTCTCTCTCTCTACCTCTCCTTCTCTCTATATACAGCTCTGACTTTCAAATAAATATATAGATCTTTTAAAAAAACATATTACTGGAAGAGAACCTATGCACTAAATTTCTCAAATCATAAAATCTTCCAAACCATCAAAAAATATTATCAGAATAAAATCTGGTGTTATAAAAATGTACCATGACTGAATGGGGTTAGTCTTACAAATGGAAGTTTATTCAACATTAAAAAACCCATCTATGTAATTCACATATGAATGTAAAGCAAAAAAGCAAGAGTTGCAGAAATTAATAGATCAGCAGTTACAAGAGCAGTATGGATACAGTTGAATAAAAACGCACCATCAATCACCTGTGCATCTACTGGGCATGGAGAAAATGCTCCATCCAACAACAACAGAATCCACACTCTGCTCAGGCCCACACAGAACATTCACGCTGACCACCTCCACGGCTGTGAAGCACACGTCAACACCTAAGAAAGAATAGGAGTCACAGGAACTAAGCTCTCAGCTCATAATGGGCTCCAAATGAGACGTCAGTGACACAACTGGAGAATCCCAAATACTTGGAGATTAAGCAACAAACCTCAAAATAATGCGTGTTTAAGGAATAAATTTCAAGAAAATTGAAAAATACTTCAAATTAAATGAAAGCGGAACTATATCTTGCCAAATTATAATAATGAATACATCTTTTAGAGACAATCAAGATCAATAAGCTAGGCTTTCATCTTTGAAAATCAGAGGAAGAAGATGAATTTAAAAATAAGTAAAATAAGTTAGAAGTAGAAATCAATGGAAGGGAAAAAAAGTACACCTGTAGAGAAAACTATCAGAACTAAAATTGGATTTCTTGAAAATATCAACACAATTAAAAAACTTGTTGTCAGGCCTAACCAAGAAAAAAGTAAAGAACAAGTATAAATTACCAATCCTATAAATGAAAGAGGCGACATCATTACTGACACAATGGACCAAAAATAAACCTAAACCACAATGGAATAGAACAATTTTGTTTCCAAAAACTTGACAAGATTAATGAATTGAATCAATTCCATGAAACATACAATGTATCAAAATTCACACAAGCAGAGCTGGAAAATTTGGAGGTTCCATAACAATTAATTAAATTTTATCAATGATTAGTAATGAAAGTGCCATGCCTAAATGATTTCCTAATGAATTTTATCAACATTTTTAAATTGTTATTCTAATACATTACTTATTTGAAAGCCAAAGAAGAGAGGGAGGGAGAATGTACCCATCACTGGGACATTCCGCAAAAATCCACAACAGCCAAGACTGGGCCAGGCTGAATCTAGAAACCAAGATCCTAATCCAGATCTCCCACGTGGTGGCAGGAATCCAACTACTTGAGCCATCACTCTTGCCCCCAGGGTGCACACTGACAGGAAGCTAGATTAGAAGCAGAAAAGAAACCAAACCAAGTGGCCAGTGCTGTGGCGCAGTGGGTAAAGACACAGCCTGCAGTAACAGCATCCCATATGGGTGCCAGTTCAAATCCCAGCTACTCCACTTCTGATCCAGCTCTCTGCTATGGCCTGGGAAAGCAGTAGAAGATGGCCCTAGTCCTTGGGCCCATGTACCAGCGTGGGAACCTAGAGGAGGCTCCTGGCTCCTGGCTCCTGGCTTCAGATCAGAATAGCTCCAGCCATTGTAGCCACCTGCAGAGTAAACCAGAGGATGGAAGACACCTCTCTCCCTCTCTCTGCCTCTGCTTCTGAGTCTCTGTAACTAGTACAAGTAAATAGAGAATTAAAAAAAAAAAGAAAAGAAATCAAACCAAGGCATTCCAATATGGAATGCAGACATCGAAGTGGTGTGTGTGTGTGTGTGTGTGTGTGTGTTTTACTTATTTTGACAGAGTTATAGGCAGTGAGAGAGAGAGAGACAGAGAGAAATGTCTTCCTTCCATTGGTTCACTCCCCAGATGGCCGCTATGGCCGGCGCTGTGCTGATCCGAAGCCAGGAGCCAGGAGCCAGGTGCTTCCTCCTGGTCTCCCAAGTGGGTTCAGGGCCCGAGCACTTGGGCCATCCTCCACTGCCTTCCTGGGTCACAGCAGAGAGCTGGACTGGAAGAGGAGCAACCGGGACTAGAACCCAGCACCCATATGGGATGCTGGCACCGCAGGTGGGAGATTAACCAAGTGAGCCATGCCGCCTGCCCCCAAAGTGGTGTTAACACTATGCCAACATACTTCCTCTCCACCAAACATTTTCAAAAAGGCTAATTCTCTATGATCTGTTCCAGAAGATAGTAGAAGGAATACTCATCCTATGATGCCAAAAATACTCTAATATCAAAACAAAGTAAAAACATATACCAGAAAACTCCAGACCAGTATCTCTCACGAATATGCATAGAAACGTCCTCACTAAAATATTCACAAATTGAAGCCAATAACATTTATAAAGAATCATACACGGAGGCTGGCACCACCGCTTGCAGTGCTGGCAACCCTTATGGGTGCCGGTTTCAGTCCCATTCAAATTGCTGCTCCGATTCTGATCCAGCTCTCTGCTATGGCCTGGGAATGCAGTAGAAGATGGCTCAAATGCTGGGCCCCAGCACCCACATGGGAAACCCAGAAGAGGCACCTGGCTCCTGGTTTTGGATTGGCTCAGCTCCGGCTGTGGCAGTTAACTGGGGAGTGAACCAGCGGATGGAAGACCTCTCTCTCTCTCTGCCTCCTCTCCTCTCTCTGTGTAATTCTGACTTTCAAACAAATAAATAAACCTTAAAAAAAGAATCCTACAGCACAACCAGTGAAGCTTATTCCAGGTCTGCAAGGCTACATCGACATGTCAAGTACCAGCCAGTGAAGTACATCACATCAACAAGCTAAAGAACACCATCATCACGTGGTGGGCTGAGACAACATCAGACAACATCCAACATTCTCTCATGACACAACCCTGAGCTAACTAGGAACAGCGTGGAACTTTCTCAATCTGATAGGGAATGTCTACAAAATGAAAATTTTACATTATATTTCTAAAATCAGAACAAGGCAATAATGTCATCTCTCACCACTGATTCAGCACCACCTGCTGGACACTCTACCTAATGCAATCTGAGAAGAACAGAAAATAAAAGCTGTATGAACTGGGGAGGAGAAACACAATGATATTCGTTCACTGGTGAAATGATATCATACACTATAAATCTGTAAGAATCAGAATAGGAAGGAAGGAAGGAAGGAAGGAAGGAAGGAAGGAAGGGGGAACGGCAAAGAAACTCTTGGAATTAATGTGCTATTCTAAGAAGGTGGCAGGATTGCCAGCGCCGTGGTTCAACAGGCTAATCCTCTGCCTGTGGTGCCGGCACACCGGGTTCTAGTCCTGGTTGGGGCGCCGGTCTGTCCCGGTTGCCCCTCTTCCAGTCCAGCTTTTTTTGCTATGGTCCAGGAGTGCAGTGGAGGATGGCCCAAGTCCTTGGGCCCTGCACCCACATGGGAGACCAGGAGAAGCACCTGTCCTGGTTTCAGATCAGCATGATGTTATGGCCACAGCGCACTGGCTGCAGCGGCCATTGGAGGGTGAACCAACGGAAAAGGAAGACCTTTCTCTCTGTCACTCTCTCTCTCACTGTCCACTCTGCCTGTCAAAAATAAATAATAAAAAAAAGAAGGTGGCAGGATACCAGGCTAGGATGACAAAGTCAATTGTAGGGCCAGCTCTGTGGCGTACCAGGTAAAGTCGTGCCTGCAGTGCCGGCTTCCCATAAAAGAACTGGTTCGAGTTCCAGCTGCTCCACTTCTAATCAAGCTCTCTGCTATGGCCTGGGAAGCAAGAGAAGATGGCCCCAGTCCTTGGGCCCCTGCACCCATGTGGGAGATCCAGAAAAAGTTCGTGGCTCCTGGCTTCGGATCCCTGCAGATCCTACCAGATCAACCTCTGTCTATAACTCTGCCTTGAAAATAAACAAGTAAATCCTTAAAATCGACAGAACAACAGAAATAATGAACCATGAAAATGTGAAATCACTCTGTGAAGTTCTCATTTATTCAACACTGACCTATGGGTTCACTCTAATCCTAACCAGGGTGTCAGCACATTCTTCTGTGGATGTCAACAAAGTGACTGAATGTCAAACAGAGGGGCAAAGGATGCAGAAACCTGTATCACACTGCAGGCAAACCAAGAATAAGAACTGAGACTACAGCTCCACAACCTACTGTCCAGGGTGGGTATCTCACCTGGCATTTGGTTAACAGGCTGGATAAGACAGCCGGCCCCATAGGGAAGTGCCTGGCTTGCAAACCTGGCTCCACCCTTGACTCCTAATTCCTGACAGTACAGATCCTGGGAGGCAGCAGTGATTGCTCAAGTGAATGCATTTCTGCCACCCAATGGGAGAGCTGGAGTGAGCTCCTACTTCCCAGCTTTGACCCAAATTCCAGACACTCCAGGCAACGGAAGACTGACCCAGGGAAGGATGAACTTGATCTCTCTCACTGTGTAGACAGAACACGAGGGGCAGGTGGTCAGCCTGGCAGGGGACACACCAGTTCAGATGCCTGCATCCCAGATTGCAGCACAGGGTCTGACACCGACTCAGGCTCCTGACTTCCGGTTCCTGTTCATGCAGGCCCTGGGGGGCACTGGTGATGGCTCAAATGACTGAGTTCCTGCTACTTTGGAGGACACCTGGATTCTCTTCTGGCTCCCACTATTGGCTTCAGCCTGCTCCAGCTGTGGTGGGGCTGCAGGGAGAGAACCAGATGATGAGAACACTTTCTATATACTGATCTCTACTTCCACATCTATTTCTTTGTCTCTTTCTGCCAATAATTAAAAAAAAACAGTTCTATATTGCATGTTGCCAAGTATATTGCCTTCTGGAAAAGTCAGAGAATACAGACACAGTTCATAGATCAACAGTTGACAGGAGTAGGGAGAAGGGTGAATGGGTGGAGCCCCGTAGATTTACAGGACATTGAAACTACTCTGTGTGTCACTGTATTAGTGGACTCAGGGTGGCATGGATTTGTCAGAACCCACAGAATGTACAACACAGAGTGAGCACTAATGTAACCTATAGACATTACCTAATAATACTGCTGTATCTCCACAGTGGATCAACAATTGAACCAATATGTCACACTCAAGCAAGATGTTAATTCGATGGGGGACACACTGAAACTTGGGGACGATACAAGAGGACTCTCTGTGCTGTCTACTCTGTTCTCTGCAACCAGAAACAGTGCTGAAAAACAATTCCACTGACTGACCAAACAGGACAACTACAGACTGGGAGAAAATATTTGCACATCAGATACTTTAGATAAAGGAATTGAATCTGGAAACATAAATACATTCAAAATTCAACACTAACAAACCAAATAAATAAAAGCAAAATAAAATGGAAGAAATATTAAACAGACAACACACAAACACAGACATTCAAACAGCAAATAAAAACCTGAAGAGATGCTCCACGGTATTCCTCAGTAGGGAAACCTGAATTCCTATAACAGTGAGATACAACAACCCATTACAATGGTTAATACTGACAAGAAGGAAAATGATAGCAAAATCCTGGGGAGAGTATAGAGCAACTAAAACACCCACACATTCCAAGTGCAACACTTACTATTTCTGTTAATTTGTACTTACTTATTTCAAAGGCAGAAATCAGAGAGACAGAAAGGCCTCCACACTGCTGCTTCACTACCCAGAGGCTCCAAACAGCTGAGGTAGGACCAGGGGGAATCTAGAAACTGGGAATTCAATCTGTGTGGACTCATCCTGTGAGGCCTGCACTGCCGGGATGGTGGGACGACTGCGTTCTTCGACAAGAATCACCAGAGACAAGTTTGGTGAATGTGTCCATGTAAACGACCAAGCATAAGCTTTTAAAGGGCAGGCAGAGGGGGCATAGCTAACTCAGGGCAACACTAATTCTATACGATAAAGCTGATGTTGGCAGAATGCGCTCCTCCATTTAGCTTGAAGATCACGAAGCCTAGGTAGCCTTCCTGATGGGCCTGGGCCACACGTGGGAGCCATCTACCAGATTGGCAATCACAAGGCTCTTCAACAGAAGGCAGGGCTGAGGGAAATGTGCCTGGGGCTCCTTCCACCTGCCAGCAGTCAGGTTAACCTCCTGCATGGGCTGGGCAGGCAGCGTCCTGGCCAGGCACAGGATCACCCACAAACCTTAATCTGCCACGCTACAGTAGCAGGGAATCACCTACTCGAGCCATCACTTGTGCCTCCCAGGGTGGGAATAAGCAGGAAGTTGGAATGGAAGTGGAACTGAAACTCAAAACCAAGCACTTTGATTTAGGATGCAGGTATCATAAGCACCATTCTACCCACTAATCAAACACCTGCTCCAAGCAGCAGGTCTACAAAGGGCTTTGACCAGGACCAGCACTGTGGGGTAGTAGGCAAAGCCCCCGCCTGTGGTGCCGGCATCCCCTGTGGGTGCGGTTCACGTCCTGGCTCTGCACTTCTGATCCAGCTCTCTGCTTATGGTTGGGAAAGCAGTGGAAGGTGACACAAGTGTTAGGACCCCTGCACTCACACAGGAAACACAGAAGCAGCTCCTGGATCCTGGCTTCAGATGACCATGTTCCAGTTGTTGCAGCCACTGGGGCGTGAACCAGTGGATGGAAGAGCTTCCCCCTCCTCTATGCTTTGACCATTTCCTTAAAGTGAAACATCCCGTGAGCAGGCGACCCTGCAATTCCATCCCTATACATTTACTCAAGGGAAATGAAACCACAGTCACAGAAAAACTAGCTGTTACAATTCACAGTGCTTTACACGTGATCTTCAAAGCCAGGAAAGGCCCAGACGGCCTTCAACAGGCAAGCAGTGAATACTGCCTGCTGGGAAGGGTAGGCGGGAGAGGGCGGGGAAGGCTGAGTGACACCCACCAAAGTTACAATCTGACACATTCCCAGCATCCTAAAGCACAGGGAGCATCACTGCGCACAGAAACCCACCATGTTTCTGAGAAGACCTGGAAGACAGGAGCGCCGAGGCTCTGATATACAGAAATATAAGAGATGGACGTGTTCATTACCCTGATTGATCATGACAACTGTATACAACTACGAAATCACAATACCGGGGCTAGTGCCATGGCTCACTTGGTTAATCCTCCGTCGGTGGTGCAGGCATCACTCATAGGCATCGGTTCTAGTCCCGGTTGCTCTTCTTCCAGTCCAGCTCTCTGCTGTGGCCCAGGAGGGCAGTGGAGGATGGTCTAAGTCCTTGGGCCCCTGCACCCGAATGAGAGACCAGGAAGAACGCCTGGCTCCTGGCTTCGGATCGGCGCAACGCCAACCTTAACAGCTATCTGGGGAGTGAATCAATGGAAGGAAGACCTTTCTCTCTGTCTCTCTCTCTCACTGTCTATAACACTACCTGTCAAATAAATATATGTAAAAAAAATAAATTACAATACCATACCCCACAAAGATAAGTGTTACATCAATTAAATCTTCAAAATTCTAAAAATTTAAAAAATGAGCAATGTCTTGGACATTACATGATGGAGTGCTGTTGTGAACAGACAAGAAGCATGAGAAAAAGTGCTCACCATGAATAGTCATAGGGAACACACAAATGAAGACCACGTGGGGTACACCTACACCCTAAAATCCTTAATGTGAAGAAAGACTGACGGCAGTGAATGCGGAGGAGGGCGAGAAGCTGGAATTAGCAAGCAATGGCTGGACAGAGTGTAAAATGGTGCAAACATTGTAAAATCCTTTGGCAAGTTCTTCGCCAGGTAAGCATACACTCCCTTCAGAAGCTACTATTGCACAGCTAGGTATGTTTCCTCTAGAACAATGAAAATATGCGTCCACAGACTGGGACAAGAACACACTTCACAGCAGCTTTGCTTGTAACAGCCAAAAACTAGAAATGATGCGAATGGCCAATAGAATACCCAATAGTGGGTAATGGGGCCGACGCTGTGGCATAGGGTGCTAAGCCGCTGCCTGTGACACAGGCATCCCACACTGCTGACCTCTTCCCATTCAGCACTCTGCTATGGCCTGGGAAAGAAACAGAAGATGGCCCAAGTCCTTGGGTCCCTGCACCCCCGTGGGTGACCAGGAAGAAGCTCTTGGCTTCACATCAGCCCAATTCCTACCATTGTGGCCATTTGGGGAGTGAACCAGGGATGGAAGACCTCTCTCTCTCTGCCTCTGCCTCTCTGTAACACTGCCTTTCAAATAAATAAATCTTTAGAAAAAATAAGAGCAGAAGAAGAAGGGGTAAACAGCATGGTTCTACTCATGCCCAGTGGGTGTTTGGCTATAAAGGGGAGTGCTCAGTGATCTGTGCAGCATCGTGGATGCTGAGCCACAGGCTCTGGAAACAACGTTCCATTTGGGGAAGCTTCACAACAGGCAAAACCCACTTCACAATGTTCAAGATGAGCACAATGGAGAAATAATTCGGAAATTACAAAGTTGTAGTGCATCAAAATAAAATTATATTTTAATTATCTAATGCTTCAAGAACCTTTCTGAAGCACCTCAATGGACTGGAAATGGACAAGAGGAGATGTTCTGGGGCCATCAAAATTCTGAAACTTAGGAGAAACATTGTGCTTAATGGTACAACTTAGCACCCTCCAAGGCCAGGAAGAGCAAGCATTCTAAGCAGCAAGGAAACATATATGACCCCCACAAAGCCTCCCACGATGAAGAGGAGTGACCCAAATAAGGGAGGTCCCTCATCACACACAGGCCCAATTCTAGAACAGCTGCCACTTTAGAGGCCCTGGGCATCACTGGGATCTGAGCAAGAGTGGGTTCCATGGCTGCACACATTTATCAAACTCATCAAACCATACCTCAGATCTGTGCACGTCACTGCATTTAAATTACACCTGGGTATGTTAAAGTGGCATAACAGGTAAAGCCACCACCTACAGTGCCAGCATCCCATATGGATGCCAGTTCAAGAACCAACTGCTTCACTTCTCATCCAGCTCAATGCAGTGGCCTGGGAAGGCAGTAGAAGATGGCCCAAGTCCTTGGAACCCTGCACCCTCATGTGAGTCCGCGAGGAGGCTCCTGGCTTCTGTCAGCTCAGCCCGGGCCTTTGCAGCCAACTGAGGAGTGAACCAACAGATGGAGGACCTCTCTCTCTCTCCCCCTGCTTCTTCTCTCTTTGTGTAACTCTGTGAACTAACTAAATAAATGTTTAAAAAATAATAATAAAGCATCCACTCACACAGTGGCTGTGTGACAACTACCAGTGGCTTCCATCACAACTCACTGGAAGAGTGGAAAGGCCATGGACAGCCAGGGCCAGCTCTTGTGGACAGGAAGCATCAGGACGCACACAGTACTGATGGGGAAACACAGCAGCACCCATGCCTGAGAAAGCAGCACCAGAGATGAACACGTGCAGCCTACGCCACAGCCCCTGCAGGTGCACTTCCAAGAGAAGAATGGGGGGGGGGGGTCAGGTGCTGCGGTCAGCATTCCAGTGCACAGTCAGTCACAGAGTATCTGGACTTCAATGCACACGGCACAGCTACTCCAATACATCAAGAATGCAGCCAGAGACTACCGTGCACTGGGAATGAGCCCTTGACAAAGACCTGAAAGAATGGAGACTCACAAAGATAATCGTCCAACATACCAGCGACACTTCCGGTCCCAATGCTCCACACTTGTGAACCACGCAGGAAGCAGGTGATGGCCCAAGTACTTGGGCCACAGCCACCCTCATGGGAGACCTGGATGGAGTCCCTGGCTCCTGGCTTCTGTCTGGGCCAGCGCTGCCAACGGCAGCCATTTGAGGAAAGAGCCACTGGACAGCAGATCTCCAGCTCCCACTCTCTGTTCTGCCTACTAATTAATGAGTAAAAATCACATAAACACACACATACAGACACACACAAATACATACACACACCCAAACACCTGACCCAGAGTGTTTACGGTTACCCTCAATTGACCCAGAGGTCCAGTCGAGACTCAGGGAAGAACTAATGGAGGGAAAGTCTCGCTCCCAATGCCGGAGGTGAAACTGAAGCCCCACAGAGGGTGCCGGCCACAGCTGGTCCAGGCCAGGGGTTAGGTAAATGGTGGCCCGAGGTGCACAATGTGACAGCAGGTGAGGTGGTCGAGCTAGAAGAGACCACTGCCATGCCCTCAAAATAAAGGCAGCAAAATCCAATGCAACATGGCTAAAGAGATAAGGAAATACACAATTGTAATGGAAGACGCTGAAATCTCAATAACTGACCACATAGTCTGTAACGAAATCCCAAAATCATCAGCAATTGATTGGACTCCACTGCCATTCAGAAGCACTTTTGGGGTCGGGGAGCCATCGAAGCTCTCTCCCGCACTGCCCCATCTATAACTCCGCCTTTGACACAAACCTTTCAAAAGAAAGAAAACGAGGACGTCCTCTGAGGCGGCAGAGCCCGGGGGCAGGCTGGACCCGAGCGCAGAGGGGTTCCCGGCTTTCTCTGAGTCCGCGTCTCCCGGGTGCAGGCGGTGTAAACGCACCAGAGGCCGTGCGCATTCACTCGGGCTCCGGGCCGTGTCCTGCACACACGTCACACCTAGAGCAGCCGGCCCAGAGAGGCCGACCGGGCTCCTGCACGGACGCGGCCCAGGCTACTTCCGGCCGGGGACGGGAAACCCAAAACCGGAACCGGGCTGGGCAGGTTCTTGCTCTCCAACCGCCGCCCCGCCCCGTACCCGTCACTCTCCTCCTGCCTCTCCCACGCGCACCGCTTCCCCTCCCTCCCCCACCTCCGCGCCCCTTCTCATTCTGCCCCTCCCTTCCCCTCCTGTCCCCACCCCCTCCCGCGCACACCCCTGCCCGCTCTCTGCCCCCCTCCCCTCCTGTCCCCGCCCCCTCCCAAACACACCCCTGCCCGCTCTCTGCCCCCTCCCCTCCTGTCCCTGCCCCCTCCCACGCACAACCCTGCCCGCTCTCTGCCCCCCCTCCTGTCCCCGCCCCCTCCCACACACACCCCTGCCCGCTCTCTGCCCCCACCCCGGCCCGGCCTCCTCCCACACACACCCCTGCCCGCTCTCTGCCCCCCCCCCGCCCGGCCTCCTCCCACGCACACCCCTGCCCCTCTCTGCCCCCCCCAGCCCGGCCTCCTCCCGCGCACACCCCTGCCCGCTCTCTGCCCCCACCCCCGGCCCGGCCTCCTCCCGCGCGAGCCCAGCGCCCCGGCCCCGCCTACCCGGTGACAGCAAGGCCTCCTCAGCTGACCACACCCCGCGCCCAGCTCCCCCAGAGAGGACCTCGCTGTTCCTCAGGGCAGGCATGGAGTCCTGAGGGTAACGGCCGCCTCAGCCGCAGCCTACCTGGCCCCGGCCTCACCCGGGGGCGCTGGGTCTCCCTCAGGCTCGGCCAGCAGCGTCCAGGACGGCTCCTCAGGGCCTGCGCTGGCTCTGGGCAGGAGCGGACAAGGCGCTCACTCCCACCTGAGCACCGCGGGTCAGGGCGGCCATGCGTGCAGAGGCACTTCCGGGTCCAGCGCCTGGCGCAGGCGCACTGCACACGGGCGGCCGCCATGGGGTCACATGACACATCTGCACGCTGCCGCATCAGGCATCTGATGTCCAGGGCCGCGTCCAGTCCCGCTGCTCCAGGCTGTGACCCAGGGAGGAGCCACTGAGGGCCCAGGTCCCTGGGACCCGGCCTCCCTCCCTCGTGTGAGTCCTGATGGAGCTCCTGCCGCCTGGCTTCTGCCTGGCCCAGCGCTGGCCATGGCAGCCGCGTGGCAGAGGAGCAGTGCGTGAGGTCGCCAGCCTCTTTCTCTCTCTGAGAGGGCGTCCGTCTGGGTCCCCCCCCAGGGGCTACAAAGGCCAGGGCTGGGCCAGGCCGGAGCAGAATCAGGGCTTTTACTCAGTACTGCACAGTGGGGTCAGAGGCCTAAGTCCTGGGCCGTCTCCTCTGCTTTCCCAGGCGGGATCCCAAGGGGACCGGCTTCGGGGAGGGCCGGGCTGTGGGGTAGCGGGTAAAGCCCCCGCCTGCAGGGCCGGCCTCCCATATGGGCGCCTGTGTGAGTCCCGGCTGCTCCACGTCCGATGCTGCGCTCTGCTAGGACCTGGGAAAGCAGCACAAGATGGCCCTAGTCCTTGGGTCCCTGCACCCACTCAGGAGGCCCCGGGAGGCTCCTGGCTTCGGATCTGCTCACCTCCGGCTGCTGTGGCCTATTGGGGAGTCGGCCAGCAGGTGGAAGACCTCTCTCTCTCTCTCTCTGCTTCTCCGCCTCTCTGTGTGTAACTCTAAATGTCAAATACATAATTAAATCTTTCTTTAAGAAAAAGTAAAAAATAAAAAAGGAAGACATAACAATAAATAAAACTCTTCATCAAGGCCAACTACTAGAGTGTATTTAAAATTTGATACTATATACATAACATACACTGTTAACGCAGACTTTTTAACTCAGGCTTAGAAAACACTTTGGTACCCGTTCATTCTCTTCTTCCTTACAAACATGCTGTGTGGGATTATTTCTGACTTACACGTGAAGAAATCTTTGTCATCTACTTATTCAGACACTTATGCACCCACTTGTACAAGGACCAGAAATACCTGTGCTCTACACAGTTCTCTTCTGAACACAGGTCTGTCCTCCATAGTCTAGCCCTGCATTTACCATATGGATCGTGTTTTACATAGGACAAATCATGTGTCTCACAAACAAGATTGCATGCATAAAGGTAGTATCTGGGGTCACTGTTGACATTTTCTACATGGACTTTATAATGGTGGTATTTTTAATCTCATTTCTCAATGTTCGAATATGGCTTAAATTTTAATTTTGGTATAATAGAAGAAACTGATTCATGTTTATACTGGAAGGTGGGATTCTTTGGCTATTTAGACAGTTCGATATTTCTAAAATTAAGGATTTTGTAATGTATATTAAACAGATACATACTGTATTTTTAAAAATGTATTGCAAGAATGCTGGCATTAAAATCTTTTTTCTTTGAATAATAAGTAAATAAATAGGTATGTATATACATGCACACAAGAACACAGAAATGTGCACATACAGACATAGGATTGCCCTCCCCAAACACCTGACTCCAGTGCTTTCTGGTCACCATCACTTGACCAGAAGGCTCAGGGAAGACCTGATGGAGGAGGAGGTCTTGGTCCCAAAGCAGCAGGTGAAACTGGAGCCCCACAGATGGTTCGGCCTCAGCAGCTGGTCCTGGGCACGGGCAGCTAAATGGCGGCCCCAGGTACAGAATGTGCCAGCAGCTGAGACTGTGGCACTACCAGAGCAGACCACTGTGCAGAATGGCCAGGTCATGAGGAGGACCCCTGGGCATTCCTGTGCCAGCAGAGACCTCAGGAGAGGGTCCCAGGCATCCTGGCCCAGGGCCAGCAGCATGGGCACCAGGGGGGACAGAGTCCCCAGGCCCTGGCATGAGGCTGTGATGGCTCTGTGCATCCCAGGGCCTCCAGGACACCCCAGCAGATAGGAAGGGCTGTCAATATGAGGAGCAGGTGTCCAAGGAGGGGAAGGTAGATAGGTACAGAGGAGCCTAGCTCTGATTGGATGCCGCTGTCCCAAGTCCCACTGTGGCTGGCCAGGCTCAGGGCATCCAAGCGGTATCCAGGTGGCCACGTCTTCTTCCAATAGAACACAGGGGGGCCTGCTCTCCAAAATGGGTGAGCAGTGCACACCCACTGTCCTGACACCCAGTCAGGAGGCCTGGGTGTTGGAGGTCCCTGCTGAGAGCCCAGCCACCCTTCTGGCCCTGCTATCTCATCCCATGCCCTTGAAACCTGTGGAGCTCATGGTGTGGGGACGCCTGTGCGTCGACCTCAGTGTCTTCATGGCCAGAGGCCGCACAACTCGTCCCCAGACTGTTGGGAGTGGCAGAGTTCCCGGCTACTTGTTGATTCCGACCTGCCCATGTGCCAGCTCTGCCCAGTGTGCAGACTTCAGACCGCACCCCTGCCCCGGAACTGAGGCCATCCTGGGCATCAGCACAGGAAGTGATGGCTGCCTGTGGGGAGGGCAATGAGAGAAGGAGAGAAAGGAAGCTGTGATGACTGGGACTTTTCAGGGCATTCCTGGGTGGCCTCCCTGCCCTCCCATCTGGGTAGAAAGTTCTAGATGGATAAATCAGTGCTGACTCAAGGTGGGTCAGCTCAGGTGTGACAGGGACACTGGGGTGGGCTCATGGACACAGGAAGCTCCCTAGCAGATGAGGGGCTAATGGTACATCCAGAGTGGAGAGTCCAGTGGTAGATGGGTGGGGATGGGGACCTGGGCACGGTGTTCTCTGTGCCTGCACAAGGTAAGAGGACAGAGGCCAAGAAAGGCCCTTGGAGGGGCAAGGACAGACTGTAGCACCAAGATGGAAGCCTGGGGGTTCATGTGGGACCCAGGACTAAGGAGGTGCTGGGTGAGGGCTGAGCCACTTTGCCCAGGAAGAGCAGGTGCTGGGAAGCCCTGGGCTCCCCCAGAGGTGATGAGCAGGGGGCTCTTCCTCATCCCTGAAGGGCCCGTGGCTGAGCCCAGGCTGTGGGTGGTCCTGAGTTGTCACTGCCACAGCTATGGTGGAATGGTCAGGAGAGGCCTGTGCTGGGGTCTCAGCAAGGGCAGGGAGGGGCTCCAGGGACAGGTGCATCTTCTGTTCTTTCTCATTCCCCTCCAGGGCAAGGGCAGAGGGCCGATGTGGAGAGGACCAATGCTGTGGCCACCACCTGACCCTGCAGCCCAGAAGCCATGTCCCAGCGGTGAGGGCGCCCCTCCCTCCTGGCTTCCCCCTTCCCTGGGCCAAGCTGGCGGGCACTGTGCAGCTGGCAGTCTTTGGACCAGAGCAGGGCTTGATCCTGGGCACCTCCTGAGCCCATCAGCACTCGTCCACTCAGCCTCACCCATGCATGCTGCACTGAGGTGCACAGGTGTGCACGAAGGTGGGTGCATTCCAGTCCTGCCAGGCCACCCACACCTCACGTGACCTGTGTGCCCCTCATGTGGGGGAGCTGCCCCATGGGGCTGTGCCCTTGGCATTCCCCCATCCTCACTAAGAAACAGCCCAGGGAGGCAGGCTGGGACAATTGCAGGACACCTGGTGCCACTAAGTATAGCCAGCATTCCAGGAGGTGACAATGACAAAGTCCAAAATAAGCATTTGTGGGGCCAGTGCCATGGTTCACTTCATTAATCCTCTGCCTGTGGTGCTGGCATCCCATATGATCCCTGGGTTCTAGTTCCAGACTAGCTCTCTGCTGTGGCCCAGGAACGCAATGGAGGGTGACCTAAGTGCTTGGGCCTCTGCACCTACATGGGAGACCAAGAGGAAGCACCTGGCTCCTGCCTTCAGATAGGCATAGTTCCAGCCATAGCAGCCATTTGGGGGGTGAACCAATGGAAGGAAAACATTTCTCTGTCTCTCTCTCTCTCTTTCTCTCTCACTGTTTGACTCTGTCAAATAAATAAAAAACTAAATAAATAAGCCTTTGTGTGCTTCTGATGTGGAGCCTCCAGCCCCAGGGAGAGCCTTGGAGCAGACACATGCTGGGTATCCACGTGTGCTCACGTCACACAGAGGAACACGAGGCCGCACAGTGAAAGGCAGCTTCCCTTTCACCAGGCAGACAGCATAGGGAGTACATGGAAGGCAGCCTGAGCCAGAGCCCATGTGGCTGAGCCAGGCCCACAGGGGCCTCCTGGCCTCTGCAGAGCCAGTGCTTAGCACGACCGGCCAGGTGCTGCTGACAGTGACCCTGGGTCTCCCAGGGCTGGGTGTCCTGGCCATCAGCAGTGCTGGGAGCTGCGGGCCTGTGGCTGCTCCAGCCCCACATGTGCTGTCTCTGCCCTTACTGCCAGCACTAGCCTGGAGTTACCAGCATGCGGATGAGGTGCTTGTCCGGAGGAGTCACAGTGATCTGTCTGAAGCCCTGGTCAGTGTCAGGACAGGGCCCTGGGTTCTGCTGTAGATAGTCTGAGCTAGGCTGGCTTGAGGTCCAGTTGTCTGCTGGCCACTGCCATCCCCTCCATCCCAGGAGGGCCCCCTGGTGCCAACACCTAACGTACCAGGGAGGAGGAACAGGAAGAACATGGGAGGGGACAGTGGGGGTGGGCAATGAAGGGATGGGGCCTTTCTGGGACAGGAGGTTGCACCACTGGCAATTCCAGTTCAGGTCATTGCAGGGGCAGCCCCGAGTGTGGGGACCTCAGGAAGATGGACAGGCCATGATGGGGCTCCCTGTGCCACCTTGTGTTCATAGAGAAAGGCTTTCACAGTGGTGCTGTAATAAAATTGCAGAGGAATAAAGGAGGGGCAGGAGGTGCAGGTTGCCTGGGACTTGGGACCGTTATGGCAGGTGGCAGAGGGCCCAGGCACCCCTGGTTCCGGGGCAGTTCTGCCAGAGCCCTGCCCTCTTCACCTGGGCCCTGGGGAGAACACAGGCCCCACTTCTGGTGACCTGTAATGAAGCCAGGACTGAGGACCCTGACCCCTGCCACAGCAGAGCCCCTTGGGATTGGCTGGGAGGCTTCTGTGATGTCACAGGCACTGAGGATGCGCACTCTGGGCTGGGAGGCGACCAGTGTCCAGTACTGCGTCTACTGCCCAACTGACCAGGTGTTGGTAGTGTAGGCAGGAGGCACATTTGACAGAATCGAATGGATTCATGATGGAGGTGAGTGGGACTGGCTCTCTGTGTGGCCTGTGATGCGGGGAAGGTCGCGCCCAGGTGGTTGACACTGGTCTTCCACGCTGGGTCCCATGGGTGATGAGTCTGTGCCTGTGTGTTAACACCATGGGAGTAGACCCTTGGCCCTGGGACTCAGAGCGGTTCTCAAAGAAGGGCTGGAGTAGCGCGCTGGAGGGGTCTGGTCTGTGTACTGTGGTCACGTGCTGTGGGTGGGAAGGGCCCCAGCACTCAGGCTCACCTTGTGCTCCCTAAGCACCACTGTCAGAGGTGATCTCTGCGGCCGGGTAGCCACAGCTCTCAGCCGTGCACGCAGGCCCATGGCTCACCTGAGTTGCAGGGCAGCTCCAGAGCGCCCTGTAAGAAGTGGCGGCCAAAGGCAGACTCAGCGTTTCCCAGCACCTGCCCAGCCCCTGTCTCCCAGGACTCAGATGAGGCCCCGCGATGTCTCTTGAGGTTGACTAGAGGGACTCGAAGTCCTGCCGGACTCCCAGATGCCCTGAGCAGTGCTGCTGAGCTGGCCTCTGCCTTTACTCCCAGCCACCCCTAAAAGAGAACTCAGTGCCTGGGTGTTTAGGTGGCACAGGAAGCCAGAGTGGGCTTTCAGGTGACCTCAGCTGAAATCCGGAATGAGGAGCACCTGATGCTTTGGGAAGAGGCTTTCTCAGAAACCCTTCAAGCACATTGGAGGGCACTGTGCTGAAGTTGGAGGGAAGTCCTCGCCCACTCTGTGTGGCAATAGCAAAATACCTGAAGCTGCGTTGCTTAGAAAATGAAAGTTCACTTTAGCTTGTGGCTTGACCAGCCCGAGAGTGTGGCACGGGCACCAGCTTCTGGTGAGGGCCTCATGGCAGATGGCATTACCCAGCAGGAGCCTGAGTGAGATGGGGGAGAGGAGGACCAGACCTGTCCGTGATAACAACCCCAGGGCAGGCAAAGTGGGGAAGACACCACTGGGACACCTGCATCGCATACTGCACCACCCGGGGTCCATCCCCAGCCTCGGCTCCTGAGTCCAGCTTCTTACACACGTGCACCCTGGGAGGCAGTGAGGATGCCTCAAGTATTGGGTTCCTGCCACCCACGTGGGAGATTGGGGTTGAGATCCAGCTGCAGCCACTGGCAACTGCAGGCCTCTGGGGAGAACAGTGGATGGAAGCAACCACCCCCCCCCAAGATCCATGAATTAAAAATTTGTAACAACCCCCTGATAATAAGGAAACATTTGTAGCAACAACAATGGGAACTAATCCCTGTGCACCCTAACCCACCACAGAAGACTAGCGTCAGTCCATTCAGGAGCTGGGTTGGGGCCCATGCTTTCCTTCACCCCCAGTGAAGGAACATACAACCTGGAGAACACTAACCCTAGGGAATCTGAAGAAGGAAAGCCCAGGAGAGAAAGAAAAACCCATGGGCATCTTCCACCCAATTAAGAATAGTTGACTGCTGAAGCTGGGTGATTCCCCACTCATCATTCATTGTGTAATTTTACAGTTCTTTGTGAATCTCCAAAAGAGTGTACAATGAAATTTAAAAGAGGAGAAGCTGAGTGGGGAGGGGGGGAATAAAAGAGTAAGTAAAACCCAAGTCTTGCTGGACAGCACCTCTGGACATGACACAGCTGTGCACTCATTCACACTCCACAGGGGAGGCCAGCAGGTATGTGGGTGACCAGGGCCCTGGACACTGTGGTCCCCATGCCAGGGTAAAGGAAGTGGGCAGAGGAAGAGAAACGGGCCCTTGAAGGGAAAAGAACAGACTGTGGCCCCAAGATGGCAGCCTAGGGGCAGTGTGGGGCCCAGGACCAAAGGGGTTCTGGGGGAGGGCTGAGCCACTTTCCCCAGGGGGAGCACCCTGGCTATCAGCACTCCAGGGAGCTGTGGGCATGTGGCTGCTCCTGCCCGACATGTGCTGTCCCTGTCCTTAAGGTCAGCAGCAGTCCGGTGTTACCAGCATGTGGCTCAGGTGCTGGTGCCCAGGAGTTCTCAGTGCTCTGTGCCTGAAGCCCTGGTCAGTGTCAGGACAGGGCCCTGGCTCCCGCTCTGGACAGTCTGGGCCACGCCGGCTTGAGGTCCTATGCAGGTGGTGCTCAGCGGGCCGCTCCCCTCCCCCCATCCCAGGAGGACGCCCTGTGTCCACCTCCTAAAACTCCTGGGAAGAAGGGCTGGAGCAGAGCAGGAGGGGTCAGCAGGGGTTGGGAGTGCTGGGGTCGGGCCTGTGGTAGGACAGCAGGCTGCAGCCCTGGGAGTCTCCGTTCAGGTCATTGCAGGGGCAGCCCCGAGTGTGGGGACCTCAGGAAGATGGACAGGCCATGATGGGGCTCCCTGTGCCACCTTGTGTTCATAGAGAAAGGCTTTCACAGTGGTGCTGTAATAAAATTGCAGAGGAATAAAGGAGGGGCAGGAGGTGCAGGTTGCCTGGGACTTGGGACCGTTATGGCAGGTGGCAGAGGGCCCAGGCACCCCTGGTTCCGGGGCAGTTCTGCCAAAGCCCTGCCCTCTTCACCTGGGCCCTGGGGAGAACACAGGCCCCACTTCTGGTGACCTGTAATGAAGCCAGGACTGAGGACCCTGACCCCTGCCACAGCAGAGCCCCTTGGGATTGGCTGGGAGGCTTCTGTGATGTCACAGGCACTGAGGATGCGCACTCTGGGCTGGGAGGCGACCAGTGTCCAGTACTGCGTCTACTGCCCAACTGACCAGGTGTTGGTAGTGTAGGCAGGAGGCACATTTGACAGAATCGAATGGATTCATGATGGAGGTGAGTGGGACTTCTCTCTGCCTGTGCTGTGACATAGGGACTGTCACTCCCAGTAGGTGGCACTGATCTCACATGCCTATGTCCATGGATGATGCCACTGAGCCCTCAGTGGCACCCCCTGTGTGTAGGGCATATACACAGTCGCCTCATTGCTCACTCTGCTGTGCAGTGGGTGAAAATGTGCCTTGGTGTGGTCTGTGTTGGCATGTGGGTTCAAGACTAGGCCTGCTCTGCTCCCCAGATATGTGGGAGCCGGGAGTGGGGCAGGGAGACCTCTGTGCTTGGGCTGTGGTGGCTACTGAGGGTAGCCAGATGCCAAGCTGGGTGAGGAGTGTCCTGTCCAAGGGCAGGGGAACAAGCCAGGAGCTCACCGTGCTGACCTGACCTGTCCCATCCCAGAGCCCTGGACCAGCCATACTCCTGGGACAGGCCACCAGGTGTCACCCGCTGTGCTTGCTGGTTTTGGTTGTTTCTGTTATCAGTGGTCTCCAGCATCTAGAATATTTGGGGTCCCATCCATGCTCCAAAACAGGTGAGGCTAAAAGCAGTCCTTTGGGGAGCCCCCTAAAAATTCTGAACAGTGGATCATGTTTCAGCCCTCTCTCTTCCTCCTAAGGTGTAAGCCAGTGGTGGAATCTTCCCAGTCACACCACCCTGAGCCCGAGAGAGGGGCTCTGGTCAATGAGCCCATATTATTACAGACTACCACCTTTGTTCTCAGTGGCATCAGGCTTGTAAAACATCTGGGACCCTTCAACACCGAAAAGCAAATGAGATAGAAGGCATTCCCTTGGGATGCCCTTAGAAAAATGGCATTTCTGGGTGCGTGGTTCAATTCTTTCTCTACTGAGGTGGAAGCTTGCTTTAGGATTTTACTATTTATTTTTATTTTTTTATTTATTTATTTTTTTTTACCTACTGGCTTTGCCTGGAGCCACAAGAGGCTCCATGGTGAGTGTGTGTGACCTTGTCCAAGGAGCCTTTGCTTTCAACAACTTCCAATCTAGAATACTTCCCTGTCAGTGCTCAGATTCAGGTAAAGCAGAAACCAATTCCTGGGGCTCCCTGCCCCTAGACACTGGACATTCAGTCTTCCCTTCCCTTCCCTCTCCATGGAGAAGTTTGGAGCTGGAGGGGCTCCCCGATCATGTGATGCTGTTCCAGGAAGAGCATTCATAGCAAGAGCGAGTCTCAGATTATCCTTCCAGCTTCTGTGCCACTGCTTTTGTGTTTGCCTGAAGCGCAGGAGCCCCTCACCCAGCAGCTGGGCTCGTCACAGAGGGAGGGATACTGGTGTTGATTGGCTGTGGCCAGGGAAGAAGTTGGAGTACATGGATTCCTATTCCACTGTCTTGCTGCAAAGCACATTTCCTTGGTTTTACTCTAAAAGTTTTAAAGTTTTGCATTTTGCCTTTACATCCATGATTCATTCCAAATTAATCTGAGCTGGATGTGAGGTTTAATTATTTTGCATATCACATCCAATCACTCCAACACCACTTGTTGAAAAGATGATCCTTTCTCCATGGAACCTCTTTTGTCCCTTTGTGCACAACCAATAGAGCGTATCTGTGCACATCTATCTTTGGTACCACTATGCTATGCTATTTTTTTTTTATCTTTTATTTAATGAATATAAATTTCCAAAGTACGACTCATGTGTTACAATGGCTTCCCCCCCCATCCGTCCCTCCCACCCACAACCCTCCCCTTTCCCACTCCCTCTCCCCTTCCATTCACATCAAGATTCATTTTCGATTATCTTAATATACAGAAGATCAGCTTAGTATACCTTAAGTATTTCAACAGTTTGCTCCCACACAGAAACATAAAGTGAAAAATAATAGATGATTTTTTTTAAATGATGATGAAATCAGATCAGACCTATTGTCATGTTTAATCCCAGTGAGAGTCAAGTTGGGAATTGATAATTTACTATGCTATGCTATTGATTTATGTGTCTCTATAAATATTACATTGTTTGATTACTCTGGCTTTTTAGTAGGTATTAGAATCAGTGTGATGTCTGCAGTTGTATGCTGCTTTTTTGAATTTGTTTATTCTAATGCTTTGCATTTCTATATAGTAGAATCTGTCTATATCCATAACAAATCTTGCTTGAGATTCTTATTGAAATTGAATTAAGCTTTAAATCAACTGGGGAGAATAGATACCTTTACAGAACTTTTTTAGAAAGAAATTTAATTTTAAAATTAAAGTAAATAGCACTAAGGAAGCAGGTAATCATTGATATTGAGAGATCCTGGGGGCATATCAGTCTCTCTTTTTAAAATTCTTTAATTTATATAAGGAGAACAAATTTCATGTATTTCCTATATACACATTTAAGGGCGTAATGATACTTCCCACCCTAACCTCCGTCCTACCCTCCCTCCTCCTTTCTTAGCTTTTACTTTCTTTTAGTTTTTACAATGGCTTATTTTCAGTTTATTTTATAATCACAAATGTAACCTTCCACTAAATAATTCATTAAGTAGGAAGTAGAAAAACCACTGTTCCTCAAGAGTATAGAAAAAGGCTGTAAACAATTTCCACATCTCAAAATGTCAGTTTCACTCATATATATTATATTATTTTGTACTCTTCATATTAGTTACCATAAGGCAGGGAAACATGATATTTGTCTTTTGGGGACTAGCTTATTTCACTAAGTATAGTGGTTTCCAGTCACATTCATTTTGTTTAGTCATCAACTGATGGACATCTGCATTGATTCTATATCTTTGCTATTCTGAATTGAGATGCAGTAAATGTGGGGATACAAATAACTCTTTCATATGCTAATCTCATTTCATTTGGGTAAATTCCTAGGAGTAGGGCCATAGGGTAGATCTATTTTCAGATCTCTGAGGAATCTCCATACTGTCTTCTATAATGGTAGTACCAGTTTAGATTCCCACCAGCAGTGTATTAGGGTACCTTTTCCCCTACATATCATCAACATTTTTTGAGTTTTGGTCTTCTGTATGTAAAATCAAACTAAAAATGAACCATAATGAAGAGAGAGATGGGGGAGGGAGGTGGAATAGGAGTTGGGGGAGGGGTATGGGGAAAGAACCACTATATTCCTAAAGTTGCATCTATGAAAAAATGCATTCATTAAATAAAAACTTAAAAAAAAAAACCTGTTCATGTCCTTTGTCCATTTCTTACCTGGACTGTTTGTTTTGTTGTGGTTCAGTTCCTTGACCTCTTTATACATTCTGGATATTAATCCTTTAGTTTGCAAATATTTTCTCCCACTTAGTTGGTTGCCTCTTCACTTCATTGAGTGTGGTTTTTTTTTTTTTTTTTTGGCAGTGCACAATCTTCTTACCTTTATGAAATTCCACTTGTCTATTTTTGTTTCTATTGCCTGCACTTCTAGGGTATTTTTCAAGAAGTCTTTGCCTATGCCATGTCTGCAGAGTTTCTCCAATGTTTTCCTCTAATAATTTGATAATATCAGGCCATAGATCTATAACTTTCTATTTTTGAGTTGATTTTTATATAAGGTAGGGGGTCTTGTTTCATACTTCTGCATGTATAGATATAATTTTCCCAACACTATTTGTTGAAGAGACTTTCCTGTCTCCAAGGATTAGTTTCTGCAAGATTAGTTGGTGGTAGATGCATGTATAAATTTCTGACATTTCTGTTCTGTTCCATTGCACATGTCTGTGCACCAGTACCAGGATGTTTGGATTATAACTGTCATGGAGTATGATGTGAAGTCTTGTATTGTATTGTCCTGACTTTCTTTTTGTTGTTTAATATTGCTTTCACTTTCGGGCTCTTTTGTGTTTCCATATGAATTTTGACATTTTTACAGTTCTGAGAAGACTGTCATTGGTATTTTGATTAGAATCAAATTGAAACTGTGAATTGCTTTTGTTAGTATAGACATTTTGAAAATATTAATTCATTGGGGCCAGTGCTGTGGCATAGCAGGTATAGCTGCTGCATCCAGTAGCAGAATCTCATATGGGTGCCAGTTAGAGTCCCAGCTGCTCCTCTTCTGATCCAGCTCCCTGCTGATGGCCTGGGAAAGCAGTGGAAGATGGCCCAAGTCTTTGAGCCCCTGCACCCACGTGGGAGACCCAGAAGGAGCTCCTGGCTCCTGGCTCCTGGCTTCAGATCAGCTCAGCTCTGGCTGTTGTGGCCATTTGGGAGTGAACCAGCATACGGAAGATCTCTCTCTCTCTCACTCTACCCCTCCTTCTCTCTCTGTGTAACTCTTTCAAATAAATAAATCTTTTAAAAAAGAAAATATTGGGCCGGCGCCGCGGCTCACTAGGCTAATCCTCCGCCTAGCGGCGCCGGCACACCAGGTTCTAGTCCCGGTTGGGGTGCCGGATTCTGTCCCGGTTGCCCCTCTTCCAGGCCAGCTCTCTGCTGTGGCCAGGGAGTGCAGTGGAGGATGGCCCAGGTGCTTGGGCCCTGCACCCCATGGGAGACCAGGAAAAGCACCTGGCTCCTGGCTCCTGCCATCGGATCAGCGCGGTGCGCCGGCTGCAGCGCGCCGGCCGCGGCGGCCATTGGAGGGTGGACCAACGGCAAAGGAAGACCTTTCTCTCTGTCTCTCTCTCTCACTGTCCACTCTGCCTGTCAAAAAATAAAAAAAAAAATAAAAAATAAAAAAAATATTAATTCTTCAAATCCAGGAACATGTAATACTTTCCCATCTTCTGCATTTTTTGTGTGTCATCTATTTCTTTCATTAGTGTTACGTAATTCTCATTGAGGAGGTCTTTCACATCCTTGGTTAATTTACTTCGAGGTGTTTAATTTAATTTTTTTTTTTTTGACAGGCAGAGTGGACAGTGAGAGAGAGAAACAGAGAGAAAGGTCCTCCTTTTTGCCGTTGGTTCACCCTCCAATGGCCACCACGGCCTGTGGGCTGAGGCCGGCGCACCGCGCTGATCCGATGGCAGAAGCTAGGTGCTTCTCCGCAGGGCCCAAACACTTGGGCCATCCTCCACTGCACTCCCTGGCCACAG